ATTTCAGAACTGGTGAAGTAGAAAATATGAAATGAAATCACTCCAAACAAAGAGAAACTTAAAGAGTCGTCATGTAAAGAGCTATACTGGTATAAAAAACAAAAAGATATGAGAGGTTTTTACTCATCGCAATCAGAAGCCCAGGGAAAGCATTTCCTGTGATATTAGGCAGTTTCTCAGGAAAATAGATGCATTAAAAATATAAAAAAGAACGGGTGTCTACGACTGGTACCATAATGTGTGTCATAGCGCGGCCTGACAGCCCTTTTTTCCAAGAGACCCAAATTGTCTTTATAATGCTTACAGCACCTACACCTACACCTTCACCCACACCATACATGTACATGGATATTTGTTTCATTGTCAGAACGATCAATAGCATCTAATTGGTCTCTACGCAAACGTGGGGGTGGTCAAAATATTTCCCCTAAATATTGTAATTTCTGCTTGCTTAGCTTAGTCTAGTTATGATTAGATCTAATTTTCCTCGAATATTAGCCTAACATCTATCTTTCCTGCATGCTCGCGACCGGTTCGGTTAATCGCGCCGCGCGTCATGCGGCAGCGCCCCTCGGTCGGTTGGGCGGGAGGAGGGCTGAGTTCTGCTAGGTTCCGCGCGTAACAGGCTTTGGCTTGGTGTCGCATGGGCCACTTGATGGTGCAGTCATTGCATATCAACGTCCAGAATAAAATATGTTTCCAATAATTTTACAGAAACAGAACATAACATTTGACAGTAATGCGTTAGCCCGTCATCCTTGGAGAACATCAGCTGATGAAGTCGCTTTTGCTATCACAATGAAAGCAGGCAGACTGGAGATGTCATCGCAATTAATGCTTTCAAGTTGAGACTTGTCAATGAAACCAGAAAAGCTGCCAATATGAATAGTTATACTCGACTCGATGTCTGCTCTGGCCTGATTTTCTTGATGCTCATACTTGGCGCAAAGTTGCAGCTTGCCCGGTAAGTTATTTTTATTGAGGCTGATGCTTGAATGACGAAGTTTTGTATACGTCGTTACAAAGTTTTTACTGGAAGTAAATGGCAAGCTGTACATAAATGTATATAATTTTGTTTATTTTGGAAAGTACCAGGCATCTCTGCCGTGTCATCCGGACACCTGGACCTCCAGTCTGACGCAATGGCAAGGGCGTGCTCCAGCGGAGTTCTAGGTGTCTCTTCCGTAGTCCGTTTGTCCGGTTGATGCTCATGGGTTACAAAATGCCTGGCTGGGTTGGGCCTACGTATGTTGCTGTTGCTTATCTGCTGTCGTGTTTAGATATGTAATAGTGAGGCAGTATGCAATCAACAATTTAGCATTTCTGTAATTGTCACCATTAATGTTGAATTGTAACCCCTACCAACGGTGGCTTGAACCTGGCATTTTACTTACATAAATGTTTGTATTTTTAGTTGCAAGCAAAATGATGTGCTTGCTGGGCGCCTTGAAAATGTTACACAGACGATATCGAAGATACTTCAGGGATACGATATCCGCCTCAGGCCTAATTTTGGAGGCGAGCCACTACACGTTGGAATGGATTTGACCATAGCAAGCTTCGACGCCATATCAGAAGTTAATATGGTAAATAAACTTGTAAATGCCTAACACAACTTTGAGTATAAAAAAACATATGTATTCTGTTTGATCATAAGGATTATACAATAACAATGTACTTGAATCAGTATTGGCGCGACGAGCGTCTGGCGTTCAATATTTACGGTCCGTATTATAACGGCGATTATAACGATGATGATGGAATCCATGATGTGCTGACTTTATCGGGTGATTTTGCCGAGAAAATATGGGTACCAGATACATTTTTCGCAAATGACAAAAACAGGTAAAATGCCTGTAGTTTTTAAACAATTGTTTGTTTGTATTGTTTGTATACATACATATAAAATCAATGTTCAAAGCTTTTTACACGACGTAACCGAGCGAAACAAGCTGGTGCGCCTTGCGGGCGATGGCGCTGTTACGTATGGTATGAGGTTTACCACAACCCTTGCCTGTATGATGGATTTGCATTATTATCCATTGGACTCACAGAACTGCACCGTGGAAATTGAGAGCTGTAAGTACAACTTTCACACCCTTCTTTTACATCTCGATTTCTGTAATGTTTTGTAAATTTGGTTACGCGACTCACAATGTTCCTTCTCGTTTTATCGATTAATTGATAAACAATTTATGTATAAAGCTTATAATGGTAAATATTCGAAATTGTACATGTAGATGGATATACTGTCAGCGATGTGGTCATGTACTGGAAGCCAACGCCTGTGCGAGGTGTGGAAGATGCAGAACTGCCTCAGTTCACTATTATTGGCTATGAAACAAATGATCGCAAAGAGCGGCTCGCCACTGGAGTATATCAGCGCCTTTCCCTGTCATTCAAATTGCAGCGAAACATTGGTTATTTTGTGTTTCAGACCTATCTTCCTAGCATACTAATCGTAATGCTTTCATGGGTTTCATTTTGGATTAACCACGAGGCCACAAGTGCAAGGGTCGCCTTGGGAATCACCACTGTGCTGACTATGACAACGATCAGTACTGGCGTTCGTAGTTCATTGCCTCGAATATCTTACGTAAAGGCTATTGACATCTATCTAGTTATGTGTTTTGTGTTCGTATTTGCCGCGCTTCTTGAATACGCGGCCGTCAACTATACCTACTGGGGCAAGCGAGCAAAAAAAAAGATTAAAAAATTCAAGGACTGTGATCGACAAAAGATAGGTATCTTTTCATTTTTTTAAATATTAAATTACAACAAAAAACGAGTACTATATTTTTCTGTAAGCGACCATCACCATTTTAAATTGTTTGCGTTAATACAATTTCTTTGACTGTAATCATTGGCCACAGGTAAGAGCGAAAGATCTCTAACGTGTTCAACGACTGAAGACATAATTGAGCTTCAAGACGTACGCATGAGTCCCATACCTTCATTACGGAAAGGTAATTATAATGCGACCCTTGGCTCCATCGGCACTGAGACCTTAAACTTGGCCAAGTTTCCGCCTAGTTTTCGAATCACCCGAAACTATGGCACTGGACGTAACCAACTGCGACATCGCTCACAGAGGGGTGAGCTACTTGAACTATTGATTTGCATTTAATTACTTAATTATGTATTTAGGAATCCCAACTAGACCTCGAATGTTGCATGCAATAAAAAGAAGCGCATCTGCCATCAAAGCCACTATACCGAAGATCAAAGACGTGAATATAATTGACAAGTACTCGAGGATGATATTTCCTATCAGTTTTCTTGCATTCAATCTTGGATATTGGCTATTTTACATATTGGAATAATAGAGTGTCTGCGATAACACTATGCTACCAAATCGACCTTTTTCCCGGCATTAATCCGGCGTTTTCTAATTGACTTTTAGGTGTGATTTACTACACAGTGCGACATTGAATCTTGTACATTTTTTTCTGCACAAGTCACAAATTAATTAGTTACAAACGCCAAAAATCTGTTTTATACATTTGGTGACTTTGTTTTTACTTTTACATTGCTTATATCCATTTGAATTTATGGATTACATTTAAATACACCCGGTACTCAAAGAGTTTAGGGTTATATTCGATATGTGGGCGAAGTATCTAACACATAGAAGGACAATTTTCCGACACTATAACGTAATTCTTGATCAGCATTAATGGCCAATTCGAAGTAGCCATGACTGTCGTTCCTGTTCCTTCTGTGCGAAACGCACATCGCTTGGACCACAAATATAATATAAAAAGTCTATCATCATAGCCCTAAGTCTTCGAGCATAAAAAGGACCAAACAACAGTTTAAAGTAGAATTTACATATCTTTAGGTATAGCCGTTGCATTGAAAATAATTGAAAAGGGAAGGAAAGGAAAGGTATATCAGCGCTTTAGATTTAGTCACCAGAACGCGTTTTCGATTTTAAAATGAGAAGGAATGTTGTGAGATGCGTTCGTTCACGACACAACTTTTATTTGTTAATGTGATTTAGCCACTGCAAATGAGTTTCATCGTTCTGGCCATAATAATAATCCAATCTTACCAACCTTGTATCTTCAAAATTGTGTATGTCACGGATTTTGGCCCTTTGTGGGGGACGGAAGGTGTCGGGGCGAGCAGTCTGGTTACTGTAGCTTTTATAGTTGCTGAGATTCAGGCGCTCATCAAGACGGACGGACAGACAGACATGGCTATATCAACTCGGCCTTTGATGCTGATCAATAATTCCTTCTTTGCGATACATAAGTACATCCACTTTCGAGCACAAATACCCCTTTATCTCTTTGAGTACCGGGTGTTAAAATATGTTGGGAGTATATTCTAAATTAGAAGTACATATGTATGTGGATATGATCCGATCAACCGGAAATAGCCACTAATTCTTTTCTTGTGTAAAGTTAATTCTTAAGGTTTCATTTTGTCGCAGCGTGTTTTGCTTCAAGTTAAAACCTTAATCGTAACCGTGAGTCTGGAGCCCTAAGTCTATTGGCCAATTTTGATTAATATTATTGTTTTATTGGCTATTCCATGGAGTAATCGGGTACTCTTGTTTTCAATGCATTCGCAGCTATTATTTAGAGCAGCCCCCGGCGGATATTTAAGAGCTATTTATGTGTTGAAAAAGTTATTACAATAAAAAAGGCAAAACCCCTTTGCGTACTTATGAAAATGTGCATTTTTAATTTGGTAATGGTTGCAGCATTCTGCATAAAATATTATGATAACTTTTACGCATTTGGTTTGTGACAATAGTTTCAGTGTGCAGAGAGCTGATCAAAAGTAGCACCGCCTGCCGATAGCCTTTAAAGGCAACGCCATTTAAATTGATTAAAGTATTATCTTATCTGCTCACATGTTTTCGCTACATCTGCTATCTATCTACGTAGATCGACATCACTTCTCACACCAACACGCCCTTTTAAGGATAAGATAAAATAAGATTTATGTTAATGTACATTCGTAATAATACGCTAAAGATAATGATAGACTTTTTATGTAAGGTTTTTTTTATATTTTGGACTTTATATGAACGTTTTAATTGCTTGGTTTTGAAGATTCTTTGATAATTTGGGGCTTGAAGTCTGGCTCCGATGCTTTTTTAAATGATTCTGCGTAAAGGGGAAGACGCTGCGTCATTCTGAAGCCCCAGAAGTCCTTAATCTGACGGCACAGGTTAAGATCAAGCTCAGTCACCAGCAGGCCATCCTTGTCTCGCGATAAACTCTGAAATGTTTGTTTGCATTAAGTCATAAAATTCATTTGTTTTTAATTTGACCTACCGGTGTCCTGGAACCGTCCGGCGCAGCAACATACGATGAACCGTAAAAGGGACCGAACTCTTTGTGCGCTTTGCCACCGTCTCCGGATGTGTACTCGTTGGGAAACGTTTCTGTGCCAACGCGGTTGATAGGAACGGTGAAGTAACTATTGGCAATGGCTGCATTCCGTGCCTCAATGCCCCACAGTGGCTCCGAAAGTCTACCGATTGTGGCAGAGGGATTGAACACAATCTCTGCGCCATTTAAACCGAACATCATCCAGTTCTGTGGATGATGTCGTCCATAACATATGTTGATAGCTATCTTTCCGAACTCTGTTTCGAACACCGGATGAAAGGTATCACCTTCCATGTAGTAGGTCGACTCATTGAAGTCTCCCACCCGGGGAATGTGGTTCTTACGATGCTTGCCCAAGTATTTTCCGTTGTTGGAGATAACCACGGCCGTATTCCAAATGGTCTCGCCATGTTCTACATCTCGTTCCAGGATTGAGTGAATAATTACCATATTGTAGGCTTTTGCCAGGTCAGCGAGCATCTTCGTCGTTGGACCATTCTCAGCCTCTTCGGCGAATTCACACCACGGAAACTTTTCCCGTGTGCAGAAAGCAAAGGGCATTGCTGCAAGAAGTTATCATGTTAGTCATGGAGAATTCTTGGAATAGCTTCTGATGAGAATATATGTATACTTACTCCATGCTTCTTGGGTACAAACAATATTACATCCAGCCGCCGCTGCTGCCTTAATCATTGTCTTCACCTTGTTCCAGATCGCCACGCGTTGGTCTTCAATGGATGCTGTGGTGGGCAATACAATTGAATTCTGAATAGCGCCGACTCGCACCAACCGTGGCTTCCGTATTTGTTCCTCTCGCGCCTTAAACCGATAGCCTTTAATTTCAAATCCATGCTTGTGTGCTATGTCTGTGGCATCATCGGGCAGATCAAGTATTTGGCTATGAGAACCAAACAGTGATGCATATTAGATGGAGGCAAGTCATTTAAATTTAATTTATTGGTAGGGCCAGCCTGGGCCCTTATCCTGATACCCTTTCAGATCAATTTTTTCTACGCTTGCCCACAGGATAATGATGAACCGGTAATATATTGAGCTGAAGGCCAATAATACAATTTAAAAAAAAGAAAGGGGGCCCGTTGTGAGGCTCGCCCAAAGTCGCGCCTCATCTTTTATGACCGGAACTCAGTCATTATCAGTTATAAATATGCGTGTAGATAATATGTATGTGACCTTATGATTAAAAAAAAATTTTGTTTACATTATTTAGCTAAATCTGTCAACTACAAAATTGTAGACGTAGCGGATTTTCGTGTTTTTGCGGATACATTTTTGATGAAGGGTCCTTTGAGGGTATTTTTTTTAGCGATTTTAGGAGCATATGCCAGTATATAAAAGTTTTACCAAAAGTTACATATATTTCAGTGCGTACCAATTAGTTTTTATGTAATGTAAAAGCTCTTAAGTAAACAGAATGTTGTTTTCGTCGCTTTGTTTATATATGGTAAACATCCATGTGTACAAACGCTCACATCTTGATACATATTAACATCAATATTTTTATGCTGGATCTATTATTAAGCATTTTTGTTCATATGTATATATATATTTGTTTATATATGTCGATATAGGTATGTACATGCATACATACGTACGGGGGTGGTCGTGTCGCAGACCGAATTCAAATTTGACAGGAATGTGAACCGTTGGAATGTTCGTAGCTGTATCTACCGGCTTTTTTCTAGAAGAACTGAGGAACTAAACCTGTACATATGAGACAAAACTACATATGTTTTCCAACATACGTAAAAGGTGTACCATATGATCACTTCAGGCTCAACTGGAAAGACAACTGGAGGCGTATACCTACATTATCTCTCGCTCTCACTGCATGCTTCTTTCATAAGGTTATCTCTCTCTTTGCAACTAATAAGAAAAGGTCGAATGTCATATGGCCATTTCACAAGGAAACGTATCAACGTGAAAAAGCTTGTGAGTTCCGGTAAACGCTTTTGATACATTCACTATCACCAAGGAATCGGAAACTTACTTTAAAACTTTAATATTTATCTAAGAAGTTGTGTACATTTTTATCAGTTCTTTATGATGTACTCACTCTTCTTCGAGACCATACAAAATTCGTTTGACCTCTTTTAGCTTATCAGTTGGTAAATACTCCTCCAAACATTCATTAAGATTCTTTAAATCAAAGTCCGTCATTTTTGCCGTTCACAGAAAATTAAATGTTCGTTCAATTATTCAATTTCCAAAGAGCTTTTTAAAAGCACCCTCCTTACTCCAGCGCACAAATTTAAATGCTACAGCGTTGATCACGGACGATCTTACGTTTTTCTAATGTACATAATATACATATATCCCACCAGGGTCGTGCCAAGGGGGGGTGAAGAAGGGCGAATTAGCCCGGGCCACCAAAATTTAGGGCCGCCGATTTGGACTTAACACTATACATTTTTTAATACAAAGGATGCTTGGGGCGCCGTTTTCCAACATATATTTTCCAAAAATATTCCTTGGCACGGCCCTGTATGCCACATATGAACATACATAAATACATACCTGCGTACGCATGTATTTTAGGCTGAACCAAAATTGTATCAGTTTGTTTTATTCCAATCGGATTTTCTGATTTCTTGTTATATATACATTTTTCACGAAAAAACCTGTCTGTTTTTTCAAATAACATCCAAACATTACATTTAGTTTACTTTGAACTTAGTTCATACTAACAACAAGATATTTTATACTATATTCTATGCTGCCTTTCTTTCCGTCCGTGTTGATGAGCGCCTAGATCTCAAAATCTATAAGAATGAAGAGATTAGTTTTCTGTTGCTACCCCCTAACCCATCCAGCGCTGTTTCGCTAGCTCATTTTTTTCTTTTTCCGGGAGGAACGAGGCGCGTCGACATTTTGAAACAAGTTTTATTGAGTGTTTTATCAGATGACATTATTCACACAACATTTTTTTGCTCTAGTGAACAATTATTTTCAAGCTAAAAATCTGTCTTAAGCCAGCAGCCCAACCACCTAGTTAAGTTAAAATTAAAGCGCGAATTCGAATTGTTCATCTAGGAAAACTAAAGCCAAAGGTGTGTTAAACTCTCTCCTCTACAAATTTTTGTTTCCTTTTCCTATGATACCGCAAATAATATATGAATAACCAACTTGTTTTGAGATCTCATAAGTCTAATGGATGAAATATATGGAATAGTTTTAGTTATTATTGTTTAACTGTTTTTCTACTTTGACGACTAAAAAATGGCTGTCGAACGACAAAATCCCATAACAAATTGTTTGTGCTAGAATTCAACTGATTCTGATGCGAAAAATAGTGCTTTTAAAATTATATCCTTTTTACACAGACATTAGTTACCTATAGTTCAGTTGTTCACCAGTTAAAAGAATACCACTATTATTTGTACTCTTATGAATGCAAACATGTACATCTAAATTATACCATTTTTATTTATTCTTTATTAGTTGCTGCGCGAATTTTACAATGTTCCAACAGTCTTTTAAATATTATAAGGCGAAATGTAAAACACCCGATCTAAGCAATGTAATTGACTTTGATCACTATGACGATGAGGACACAGGACAGCCGATATTACAAAATAGTATTTCTGTACGTACATGTACTTAAATGTACTTATGAATCCATTCATACATATGTATGTACGTATGTATACTCACAAATATTGCAAAACATTGTTTTATGAGCAACGTTTAGAATTTATACATTTGTTATGAATGGAAAATGGATTTGATTGAATTGTTTTAAGTGAGAGTGGAGTTATTACAAAAGCTTACAAATGCAAAGCCCAGTACTCAGGTGCGCTAAATATTCTTGCGACAGAAAGTACCATATATTTTGCTTTGTACCCAGTATGACCAAAGTGGGAAAAGTGCATGCTCTGCGGGAACACTGTTTTGTGTTTGTTTACAAAATGAAATCTGTTAAAAATTCAAATTTTGTATGAAAGCAGGCAAGAGTGTATTATTTAAGAGTGGACATGCATATCTAAATTTCAAATATAAATATATTTGTTATCCATGAAAATATAAAATAAAGTTTCAAATGTTTACTAAAAGGCATAATTTTTCCCTTTCTTATATGTGACGATTTGCCGATGTCTATCCATGTTAGTAGTTCGAAAGAAATTTGAATATATGCAAAAAAAACCATATTCGGATGCCTGCTGGACTAAAACCACTGAATGTTTGGCGCTCTTATGCTCTTGACAATCATCCGGGCTTATTGGTAATACGAAACCCGTTTACAGAGCGAGGTCAGCGTTATTGGGCTGCTCGCTGTCTGCAAGACTACCCCAGAGGACCAAACAAGGTTAATTTGAATGAAAGACTGTTCCCGGATTCAGCTAGATCGGACTGGTGGAAAGAACTTCATCAATGTGACAATTTAAAAGAGATGCAGCGACTTAAAGTTGCAATGCGATGGACAACATTTGGTTATCATCATAATTGGGACACTAAGATTTACGACGTGTCTATGCATTCACCAGTTCCAGATGATCTGAACAGCTTGTGTGCATTTTTTGCATCTGTTTTGGGCTTCAACAATTTTAAAGCGGAAGCTGGTATTGTCAATTACTACCCGATTGGCACCAGTTTATCTGGTCACACAGATCATTCTGAACCTAATCATTCTGCTCCATTGTTTTCTTTTAGGTAGATTAACATTTTCCAGACATAAAGAGCCATAAACGATAATATATTAATAATCCTGTATTAACTTTTTATATTTACCACACAGCTTTGGACAGACTGCAATTTTTCTCATAGGTGGAAAAACTAACGATGAAACACCAACCGCATTATACATCCATAGCGGAGACGTCTTAATAATGTCGGAGGAATCCCGTCTCTGCTACCACGCAGTGCCTCGTATTATTAAAACACAAAGTTCTTGGACTTCCGAACTGAAAATTAAAGACATCGAAATTGAAGAACTAGAAGAGAACTGTTTGGACAAGGCCTTGCTTCAGAAAGTGGGCGACTGGAATTTCTGGAAGCCTTTCTCATGGTATCTTAATGATTCACGAATTAATATTAATGTAAGACAAGTACTCAAACCAGGCGAAAGTACTCTCTAACAAATATAATATCAATCGAAAATAATGCAAATGCTTTTTCCTATTACTAAACAACGTAAGAAAACTATAATCTTATAGTCCACATGTAATCATGAGGAGCTCTAGCGACGTTTGGTTGACTTTTGCGAAAGTACCGTCCAGGAACCAGTCAAAGCGAGGTCTTAGTGATGCCGTCGATGGCGTCGCAGAAGGATAGCTATGATTCCCTTTTCGGCTTCCCACAGGTGTCTCTGTAGAGATTGAAGCTGTAGCGATATTCGTCCCAGCTTTCCTTTGCGCTTCCTCGATTTTGCTCAGCTCCCGTGTCCACCAATGGTTGTGATCGGGCGGGACTTGAGTTATTTAATATGATCTTCTTCGCAGCTTCCTGCGATACAGGTTTTTGGCTTACCCACGGGGTGTATCCTCGACCATTCAGTCTCCGAACCCTTTCTGACGATCCAGAAGTCGTGGATTAAGTTACATCTACCGCCTTCTCCGCCATAAGCCCCAGCAGGTCCGTCGATGGAACACTAAAGTGATGCAGATTAATCTGCACCACCTTCATGCTGATCAGCAGACCTGGGGTAACGCGATACTGCTACCGCAAAGATGACCATTCCAAGAGAAATGCGGCAGCTCGCTACAAGGAGTTTCCGGAGCACAAATTTTATAAGCATCAGCTGTTTTTTATTCATCATTTAGGTGCCAGTGTGAACCGGTGTTTTATATATTTACAAATTCCCAACGTTCCCCTGTGATAAGAGACTATTAGGGAGAATAAACAACATACATACATATGTTTCAATGTTCAGGACAATTTTATTATTAAAACGAGAAGGGACGTGTGAGACGCTTCTTACGCGTCACAACTTTTATACTCAGTACTACATCTGTACCTTAGCGGTGTTTTGTCAAATTTTAAATTTTTTCTTCATCTTTCATCTACATCTACAACACTTCTCACGCCAACACGCTCCAATAGCTCGCCCCCCTTCTCTAGAACCACAATGCAAACTCACGGCAGAGGCAGAGGCAGCGCCCGAACAAAAAAAAAAAACAAATATAAGCTGCGGGACGGGGTGGGTTAAAAATCGGCAGATTCATAGGCAGAGGGACGGCAGAGGCAGAGGCCGCATAATGCAGAAGCAGAGTGTGAATGAGAGAATGTGAAAAAAACAAATATAAGCTGCGGGACGGGGTGGGTTTGGCCACTGGAAATTAATTTCTTCATTGTAGCTAAAATAATGATCCAATCAGATTCCAATTTGGTGATCTGATAGATATGATCATTCCCTACGGAATGGCGTTTTGAGTTTTCAATTATCTGCAAAATGTTAGATTTGGAAGGTTTTCGTCCTTTTGCGGGGGCGGAAGGGGGCAGGGCCAATTTTTGAAATACACTGGTTTCAGTGTGAGCATACAGCAGTCTGGAGCCAAAATTTGGTGGCTCTAGCTCTTATAGTCTCTGAGAACTAGCCGACAAACAAGACGGACAGACAGACATGGCTCTATGGACTCGGCTATTGATGATGATCAAGAATATATATACTCCATGGGGTCGGAAACGTTTCCTTCTGTGCGTTACATACAACCGTTATTCTTTTTTTTTAATAAACAGCAAAACTTTTAGCATTTATAAATAAAACATTTGGAGAAATATTGTATTTTTTATAGTTTTATTAACGAAAATGAAATAGTTTCTTCTTCTTCTAAGCTAGTTGATATCAGATATTTTTCGATGGATGGTGTAATGTAATTTCACATCTGTCGAAGACTCCCAGTGTTCCTTATACATTTTCTGAGCAGGAAAATACTAGGCTGATTTTACGGGTTACAGCATTGATTTTGGTTACATTCCACTGTTTCAGTTTTAACCTTACGATTGCTAGAACGTACTTTGTACATCGCTAGTTTGACCTTTAGTCTGCCTCAGTCACTATACACACTAAAATATTAACACACAAAAAGGTTTAATTACGTTCGACAAACAACTCTTTTTTAAGTCAAAATTTTCAGTGACTTTTTTCTAATATTCAAAATAAACTAAAGTACCTGGTCAGTGCGGACTCATCGTCTGCAACCAACCAATTTCGCTATAGCGATTAAATAAAAACAAAAATATATTAAGAGACTTATATTGTAAAAGAGTATCTATTGTTACAGTTCCCATAGCTTAAACTGGTATGTATTTATTTTTTTTTATAAGTTTCGTGCGGAAATTCACTTATCGGGTCGCATTGAGTATCTATGTATATGAAGTGTGTGTATGGAGATAATATAAGATAAATTCATGTTTACAATTTAGAAATATACATATCTACATATTTACATATGGTCCTTTTCTAACAAGGTTTATCGCGACAAAAAACAAAAAGTTACTAAAAACAGCTGTCAAACTATTATCTAGGTTTATTGAAGGGTAACTAATTTCCCATATTGTTAAACACATGTATAATTTCTTGGAACCGTTAATTAGAAACTATATCAGTTTCTGGCCCAACTATAAAAACGTAACTAAGCCGGTTGAAAAGCCGGTTGCTTCTAAAAATATTCTCCTTGATGACCCATACATTCGATTTAACCAATTGTCGAATCAATATTTCCAGTCAGAATGAGACGGCTCTAAAACATGAACATTAATTTTACGTTTTCGTTGGTCAAAAATGCCTTTTCGTCCGTGCCGATTAGTGAGCGATAGCATTGTCATGGTGACTTTCGCCTCTTGTTAGTTTTTCGAATTTCACCAAAAGCTTTTTACATACAAATGCTTTGATACCAATCAGAATTAAATTAAGTTTGATGTATGTACATGCCTAGGTATGAATCATAAATGGCCAAACTTTCTTTTGAAAATGTTTGTCCCTAACATGGATAGTAGTGACATAGGTCTTGGTCGAAAATCATCAACAGAAAAACACCAATAGGCTGATCTAAGATAAAAATATTGAAATCCACCAAAATTTTAAACGAAAATTCTTGGTCAAATTACGATTATAATAAACCATACAAAAATAACCAAAAAAAAAAAACCTCACAAAACATACTAATGAGTCTATTTTTATCTTTTCCTAAATAATAGTATGATTGTTTTGAATTAGCTTGGTAAAAAATCGGCGAAAATGGACTCCACACAAAACCTTGGAGCAACTGGAAATATTGTTAGCCATGAAGCATTGGACGAGCCCTCGGTTGTAGGAAACATAATACGGGAGATTTTGTATAGTCCGATGAACCTAGCTCTTTTAGCTGTAATAGTTTTTCTTGTATACAAAATAGTGCGTGATCGCACCGAAGTTCCAAGTTCCAGTGTTCAGAAACCAGCTGAACCAGAACTTCCCAAATTGCGACGCGATTTTACTGTAAAAGAACTACGACAGTACGATGGAAATCAACTTGATGGCCGTGTATTGGTGGCAGTTAATGGAAATGTTTACGACGTTAGCAAAGGAAAACGCTTTTATGGGCCAGGTGAGACTATATATTTTAGTGTGACCATTTATGTACCTCTTTAAATATTACACTGCACACCAAGGACAACTTGCTTATTTTTTACCGTTTAACTCTCATGGGATTGTAGCAATATTTTGACGGGTTTCCAATTGCAGGAGGACCCTATTCTACATTCGCTGGAAGAGACGCTTCACGAAATTTGGCAACATTTAGCGTGGTTTCAAATGACAAGGATGAATTTGATGACCTAAGCGACTTGAATGCCGTAGAAATGGACTCAGTGCGAGAATGGGAAATGCAGTTTAAGGGTAATTAAAGAAATATAATATACTGTGCACTTTGACTATTATCATCTTACTTTTAGAAAAATATGAGCTTGTGGGCAAGCTGCTTCGTACAGGAGAGGAGCCTGCCAACTATGAGGACGACGATGACGATGAAAATATTGTTAACAGTGAAGAAAATGTTGTTGCCCCACCAGCCAATGTTTTAAGCGAACAAAGCGATGGTTTGGTCAAACGCAAGACGGACAATGTTTCATCGGAAACGGAAAAAGATGTTAAAAAAATCATAGCGGATAGTAACATTTTACTTGCAAAACCTTCAACTGAAAGCGGCCCAAAGGGTGAATTACCCTCAAAAGATTGTTAGCAAGGGAAAAGCTCACAATTTTAGAAATCTTTGTAGCTTCAATACATAATCGGTAACCAAAGAAGCATTCAGCGACTTTGTTATTATTTTCTAAATTATATTTGTTATTGTAAAAGTATAAAACAAACAATTTGGTATGTTGGAAAAACTGAATAAGATCACTAAAACGAAGGGATGTAGTGCATTATTATGATGGTAGACAAAAGCACTCAGTGCACGCCTACATAAATATGTATTTTTGTTACAAACTTATTTTCGTTACGTGATTTTGTTCAACAAGTTAATGACAAACAAAAAATCGATCATGACGTCAACATCAAGATTCAATAATATTGAATCAAAGGGCATGGGAAAAGTAACATAAAATTTTACAAGTTTAAAATTGTATATAACTATTGCATATGTGTATATGTATCTAAAATAAAGCTATGGACATTTTTGGTAGGAATCTGTGTATACTAGTAAAAAATTATCTGCAATAACAACTTGACATCCACTTTGCTTTATTTGAGATATGCTTACTCTACTCCATCCAAGCGGCGTGAAACTTTGCTCGGCTTCTGCTCACTGAAGCCGAAATTATTACATTTCTGCTTCCCAACCATTAATGAGTGGCGCAAGAAACAGTCCGTCGAAACCAAACGTAAAATGTCGACCACGATGTCCTAGCCAGAACACTGCTACCACCGCTATTTCGTACTAAGGCAACTTCTATTATCATAACTCTAGCAGCAGAAAAGGAGATGGAACATAACAGGGTCGGTGGGAGCATTACAGCATTTATGCAGCTGCCATATTGTAGCGGACCGTCCCGTATAAATATCAGCTATTCCACGCATTTTTGTGCCTCCAGACATGACTATAATGACGGGTTTAGGCATATATGCATTATCCTGCATCATGCATCCAGTCTCGCTGGACGCAGCGCTGTGGTGGAGCAGCTGCGCTGTAGGTCGACGGAGCATGAATTTTAAAACTGGTATATTTTGTTGATGCCTTTCTCGGAGGTAGCGGTTTGTTTTTCCACATAACTTCAGTATTTTATATCTAGTTGAAAATTACTTTGCCATTCTGAATAGCTAAATGATGCAGCTAAAAATTAGACCAAGTGACTTCGCTTTTCGTCTGGGAAATATTAGGCTTTTTGAGAAGAAAAAAATAATATCTTGGGTACTTTATTATACCCGGTACTCGAAGAGTAACAGTCAGGAACGTTGTGAGACGCGCTGGAACGCGTCAGAACTTTTCTATTTTAAATCTTGAATTATTTCTACATCCAAATAACTGCTCAAACCAACAAGTCCTATTAGCTCGCCCTCCTGCACGAGACAGAGTGTGCGAGCGAGACAGCATCAGCAAGAATTATCAAAGCTGCTGGAGGGGGTTGGGAGTAGTCCTTGGACATTTCGTCACAGCTGATAGACAGCGCAGAAATATATGGAAAAATGGAAGAAACAACTGTTAGCAAACACGTAAAAGATAGTGCCCTTGAGAGAGTGCTTACATGCTCTCTTTGTAAAGTAAGTAATTTACAGAAATTAATGAAAAAATTCGAACGCATTCGCTATGCTACTACTAGCTGTCATTTTTCTTTTCTAAATTCAATTGAGCTTTCGAAGCTGACCATATTAATAATACACAGCTGCTTCATCAGCCTGTTTTAAAAACGATCACTTTATCTTACCAATTGAATGCAATTTAACAATTAAGAATACAAATTTGCTTTCATTTTCATCAGCTGTTTTTGCTTGGTGTATGGTGCCAGTGGAGATGGGGGTTGCACATCTGTCTTAAATTCCCACCGTTCCGTATGGATGTGCTCTGTGACTCTACAACAACATTTTTGGCTACATGTTATAGCCGACACAGAAAATGTCGATCTTCAATGGTGTAAAATGCTATGGACTTATGGATTCCTTATATTTATATATGTTTTTGAAATTGGGCAGACGGATATCATTTGGTTAGGTTTGGCCATCTGCTTCATTCTATTGTTCCGCTCAAAGTCAGGGACACTAACTTGACGAGTTTGAGAGATGTTCATTCGTACGTAGATTGGTCAAAAAAAAAAGAAAGTTTATAAACAAAAATGTTTTCAGTAACTTGTATAGCTCCAGTCAACATTGCAATTGTTAAATATTGTAAGTAAAACACATCATGTTTTTATGTATAAGCTTACAAAATTCCGTCTTTCGCAGGGGGAAAACGACATGAAGAATTAATTCTGCCCATTAATGACTCTATTAGCATGACACTGGGCACGAACGAGGTAATTATGCATTGGAGTCAGACTAAGTTTGCATACATACATATATGCAGAGGTCAGGATTACATTGTGCACTGGAGCCAACCAAAAATAGGCACCAAAAATCTCACGTTGTACGAATATTTTATTACATTATTACCATCCGGACCGGTGAACTTTGTGTCGCCCCAATTTAACGCCTTCAGAGGCGATCGTCGCTTTCTTTCACTTTCATCACGATCTGCTTTTGTCATCTGGAGAATGACGCCGATGCAATAGATATATATCCGTAGAAGTTTATAACCGTTAATACCTTTCCTTCCTCCTGAGGCTTATTTTAGCCGGCTAATTCCTAAATCAGCTGTTTTTTGTTTACATTAGTGATGATAGTTGCGCTGATAGGCTGATCATACTGGGGCACACCTCGCAACGTTCCTCCTCGTTTTTATTAATTAAGTTTGAAATTTCAATACATTTATTGTCTTTTCTTTATGTAATTTGGATTTTTATTTAGCTGTGCGCCAAGACGACAATAGCTGCTTCAGAGGGATTTCAACACAATCGAATGTGGCTGAATGATGATGAATTGCCTGTCGAAGAGGACTCTCGTCTGATGCGTTGTTTAAAAGGAGGTGAGCTTTCAATAAGTAACTTCAATTTCTATGCTTTTTTTTTGAACCAATATTATATTTTTAGTTCAACGTCTGGCCCTTGCAAATGGTTCCCAAAAGGTTTCACTCTCTTGGAAAGTACATATTGCATCGCGAAACAATTTTCCAACCGCTGCTGGTCTTGCATCAAGCGCAGCTGGTTACGCGTGCCTGGTATATTCATTGGCACGCTTGTATGGTGTTCCCATTAATGAAGAACTGACGACCATTGCACGACAAGGTAGTGGTTCTGCATGTCGTAGCTTATATGGTGGATTTGTTCAGTGGCACAGTGGGGCTCTTGATGATGGCAGCGATTCTGTCGCTAAACCAGTTGTGTCCGCCCAGCATTGGCCCAATATGCATGTACTTATCTTAGTCGTAAATGATGAGCGAAAAAAAACAAGCTCTACCAAAGGCATGCAACGTTCTATGACTACATCGCAGCTAATTCAGCATCGAGTTGATAAAATAGTTCCCGAAAGGACTGCGAATTTGAAAAAGGCCATTGAAGCTCGCGATTTTCCATCTTTTGCTGAGATAACGATGAAGGACTCAAATCAGTTCCATGCAATCGCCTTGGACACATATCCACCATGCGTCTACATGAACGATGTCTCTCATGCCATAGTCGATTTTGTACATTCATACAATGAAACAATAGGTGAAGTCCAGGCAGCGTACACCTTTGATGCAGGTCCAAACGCCTGCATTTATGTATTAAAGGAAAATGTAGCTAAGCTATTAGCAGCAGTTCAAAAAGTATTCCCAAATGATGCAACGGAAAGTGTCGAGTACTTACGGGGAATTTCGGTTTCAGCTACAGTTGAAAAACACCCAGCATTTAATGGAACGTTAAACGTTCAAGCCAAGAACTTACTGAAGTATATAATCCACACAAAAGTTGGGGATGGACCCTGCCAATTGAGTGACGATAATAGTTTATTGATAAATGGACTCCCATTGTCCCATTAATTGGCAATCTCTCTAGTACTCTTAAGTGAAATTCAGATATTTACATACATGTGTTGGTTTTGGATACTTTTTTGGGATTCGTGTGAAATATACAAATATTTATTTAGTTACTAAGTAATAAATAGCCATTTGCATTTCAAAAATCTATCTATTTTTTGGTTTTTTCTCATAAGCTTGGCTCTTGTGCTAGTTTCAGTTGGGTGCAGGCCGCACAAGAACTTCGAATGGAACTCATAATACATGCTTAAAAGGCCTATCTCCAGCACTGCGAAAAGTTTAGGAATTTGCTGAATATTTCGTTTGTTCGTGGATCGTAACACAAACACCGTCAGTAAGAACTACAAGCCTTTGCCGAAGTATTTAAGTTCCACCGAGAAGGAATTGCCGAAAAACTAAGCAGGATCTTTGAACAGGACGGACAGACATAGACTTATGGACTCCGGCTGTCGATTCTATTCCAGAATGTATATATGTACCCTTAATAAAGTGTAATTATATGCGTTGGACACACCCGCTTCGACAACAAATCTAATATAGCCCTTTACGCTTCGAGTATTTGGTATTCGGTATTTGGAACCACTGAGCCAAGCATTTATTTATCCAAATTATCTATTTATACATTTTAACGATGTGTATTTATCATATACATATGCATGTGCATGTCCCATTTACTTTCTGTACCACATCTGGAGGGTCTTCATGCGTTTTACTTTTTTCTGCAACTGCAAGACACCGTACATTAGAGCCTCTGCTGTTGGGGGACAGCCTGGGACATAAATATCGACAGGTATTATTCGGTCACAGCCGCGAACTACAGAGTACGAATAGTGGTAATAACCGCCACCGTTGGCACAGCTTCCCATAGAAATAACCCACCGTGGCTCAGGCATTTGATCATAGACTTTACGCAAGGCAGGTGCCATTTTGTTGGTCAATGTACCAGCCACAATAATTACGTCTGCTTGGCGTGGTGATGCCCGGAATACCACTCCGTAACGATCCATATCATAACGTGGGGCGGCGATGTGCATCATTTCTACAGCACAGCAAGCTAAACCAAATGTCAATGGCCATATTGATCCTTTACGTCCCCAATTCAACAGATCGTCGAGTCTTGCTAACGACCACTCGGCCACAGAAGCCTGCTTAGTGCCAAACGGCGAGTATCCTTTCTTTTCTAATGTTTGAGATGGGTCCACAACCGGTAGGGTTTGTTGTCGACGAACAAAAAACCCAGGCACCACAGACAGCGCATTCGCATTTTGAGTGGCGATTTGCAGACACTTGGGTACGGTTTTCGATAAAATAGCTGAACGTAACATTTTTTTGCACTGTTGGTCCTGAAAACAAAGAAATTTAGGAATGAATTTCAGAAAATGCATAAAAATACCTATTTATGTAATAAGTTTCGGAAACCAACTTTGGAGGTGCCTAAAAATTGATTACATTTTGGTATGAGAGTCGATTGAATATCGATGACTTTTCCCAGAAGTATCGTAAAAGACAACGAAAGACGAATTGGGACGCTAGAAATGGAACTATTTCTCGAGAACCCAAAGTTCATAAACAGCTGCGCTTATTTCAAATATGTAACTTAGGTATTTTACATCTGGTTGTAATGAACTTCCCCTTTTTGAAAATCTTTTAAATGCAACTAAAAATTGTACTTGAATAATTTCCAGTCATCGTACCATCTGGGAAGTTGTTTACCCTCTTCACAGCATAAAATAATTCGAAAAGATTTGCCGTTCATCCATCTAGGGTTTTCGCAACATCCACTTTACTCTTCGAGTCTACTGCCACACTGCCACTATATTGTCCTTAATACACGACAATAAATAACAGATCTATATATAACTGAATAATCAATGATCTTTTTCTAAATATATCGCAAACTACATGACAAAAACTCAAACATTTTAATTTTGTTGCAGTTTTCTCCCTTTGTTACAAATGTACTTCCACCCAAACATAAAACACTTCCACGGTAGCCTTTGAGTATCGGTGACAATAATAAGCATTTAATTTCTTTATGTGGAGCTTACAGCTGGTGGAGCAATTGAGAAGGAGTAAAAAATGTGTTTGTACTTCTCCAGCGTTTTAAGTATGTGCGAAAAAGAGTACAAATTATTCGATAACCAAAAGCACGTCGTGTGAAAACTTGCTGTTCTGTAATAAGGGAGTTTTACTTTGCTCAAAAATGGTTTGTTATTTACTTACTTAACAATTGCATGTGGAAATATTTTTTCAATTAGACGACACATCATAAAATGAATAGAAGGAATCTCTGTATGCCCCATCTCAGGCTTGAGATTAAATTTACTCTTATCATTCTGCTCCTGTACCTCTTTTATCATAGTCTGGATACTTCCGTCAACGTCAGTAAACGTCTGGTAAAGTAATTCCGTACGAAATGTTCGATCTGTAAGCTTAAGAATATCAATTTGAGCTTCAACGACGTAATAATTTGAATTCTTGTCCATCAGCTCCTGCCTCTCACCAAAGGCGCTGATACTGGAGCTGTTAAGTTTAGCAATACGGGGAGCGGTTTGACAATCAACTGTATTGGAGCAAGTGCAGACCACTGAATAGCCATGCCTACACAAGGCTTCCATTAAATTATGAATGTTGTGTTTGCTGACAACATCCAGGTGGTTAAAAGGTTCATCCAGCAAGACTAAATCAGCATAACCAGATAGAGCTATGGCGTTACGTAGACGCTGTTGTACACCAAGACTGCATGAGCCAATAGGAAATAGCCGAAAATTATAAATGTCGAAGATCCTGCATAAGGCCAGTGACACGTTTTTCAGATTTAAATGCAATAGCCCACGAATTTGCAGCACCATTTCAATGGTTTCTAATACCGTCAGCGGATTAACCATTTCATCAAACTGAGCCCTAAATGTGGCATGAATACAGTTTTCCTCTTGGCTGGGCTGGTTAATAAAGCCACTTATATTGCCTGTCTGGTGGAAGTAACTGCCTAGAAGCGCTTTTATCAACACTGTTTTTCCAGCTCCATTTTGTCCACAAATGCACAAGATTTGGTACCTAAAACAGAAATAATGTGAAATTGAATAAACTTCACACCAAGCTTACCATTCTACCATAAAATTTATATGCTTGAGCGCAACGTTGAGTCCAAAGAAAACTCCTAGATTTTCTACATGTATCGGCTTGGCCTTAATGGATTGCCGTTCGAGAGTACGTGTTCGCGACTTTTCACGAATCCAGGTGATGTCTAGCTCCTTTCGCTGACCAACGTGTGACACATTCTGGTCATACTGACTGTCTGAACTTTGAAATGACTTTATTTATAAGATTTTCGTATTGCCTCTGCAACTTACTTAAAGTTCCAAAGACCGTTTTGTCGGCGCGGCACACGTTTGACCCTTTGTAAATGAAAACATATATAAATCAAGATCCACACCACCAGTATCAAAAGATATGTGCTCATAAATGAATAAAATATTTGGAAATCCCGTGCGCTTTTATCTGTAAGTAAAATAAATATATTAAACCTTTTTAAGGGTTTGTTGAAATAATTGGTAAAAATAAACTCACCGCAACAGTCTGGCTTTTTTTGACATTGCTCCAAGTGCACACTAGTCTCATATGTCTGCTGGTCACTGCACAGGCCTGTTATATCATTGAACTTGTTAGATCGCATCAGGTTGTGAATTAGTGCGAAGTGGGGATGTAAGTCCCAAGACAGAAGAGCAGTTTTTTCCAGTGTTGCCGGTGTAAACTCAAACATTCGAACATATGTCACTATGCCTAACGATAATAATATTGAAAATATTAAATAACCAGAATGGGGCTCTGCCAAACAGAAGGAAACCAAAAGATTCATGCACTGGACACAGAAAGCAGATACAAGTAATGTGTAAATAAAAGACACTAAAAGATTTAAAAGGTTTAGGTTAAAATAGTTCATCGTATTGCAGGTAATTACTTACTGAAAGCTTCCATATTCATAAGGATGTCATGGTGAACAAAAATTATGGCCAAATTTAAGGGTGAGCAGCATATGACTACCTTTAGAACCTCATACACAAAAGAGGCCATGCTTAGTCTGCAGCTCGGCATTCCGGCAATCACCTCAATTTGCACGTAGCGACTTCCACGCCACAATGTAAAATATAACAAAGGCAGGGTCCAGATAAAGCCGAAACAGAAGCATAGAGTAATATTAAATATTAAAGTATTACTTTCGATGCCATAATCCAGCTGCACAGCATGAGCTGTAGTATAAGGTAATGGCTCCATTTCCACATAAATCCTTGAATCGGAATCCACAAGAGCACTGTAAAACTGAACGAGCTTAGTAAATTAATTAAATTTGATAAACTATAATTAACGCACAAGGCCAGCACATTCATAACTAGAGCCAGACTATTCGGAGCAGTGTGAAGCCATTTGTTGTTGAACAGTGCCTCAACTTTGTTGTCATGAAATATGGCTGCAGCAATAAACTTCATATCGGTTAGCATGTGATGGTCTGCACAAGAGTTGCGCATATATTCCATAATATCCTTATCCGCTTCCAGTTTTGTGGCGCCTTCGCTTGCGTATTTATTGCCTGCGGTTGTTAGTGGCCAGCTTGTAGCTTTTACTTGCACTAGAGTAGTGGCTGTACCGAAGCGGCTAACGGGGAAGGGTTTAATTTCGATGTTGTGACGCAGATACGGAATACTCAATGCCCAGATGGCCATCAGCGTAGGCAGAAATATTTGCAGCATTGGCAGACTGTAGAATCGTATGTCTCGGATTAAACACTTGTGTAAAACAATCAAAGTGTGCTTGCACCATAATGGATTGATCTGTTTTTTACTGAGATCCAAACGGGACTGTCTGTCTTCTCGTATTCTATAAATCAATTCATTAAACTCTTCAATATTCGCAGCAGCGTATTCCATTTGTTCAGTTTTCAGAACATTATAGTAAATGTCATCAAAATTGTAATCCTTAAGATAAAAGCTGTTGATATTCAAATCTCCTTTACGTTTTTGCAAATCATCCAGCAAACTAGTTAATTCAGATAATCTGGTATACATTATAACGAAAGTTGTACAATCGCCCAACTGTGATTCAAGTTGAACACCAGGAACGTAATATTCTAAGAACATAGTCAATTTACCAATATCGCATTGCTCTTTAGCGAAAAAAAGCTGCAAAGTAAGAAAACACAAATATCATCACATGTATGCCTTAGATTTAATAAAAACTCAGGGAATCAGACACACTTGAAGAGTGCCGGATATAAACACGAATGGATTTGGCGTAAAGTCACTTTACTGTGATTTTCTTTCAGGCTTTACCCCCTTAATTTACTAAACTTTATCATGCTTGTGAGTGCTCAAGAGTTGAAAGATAGTGTGATAGTATTCTCACCAAGCGATAACCGTCTTTGAACTTCTTAAAAAACATGTTTTCTGTTCCGCAGTAACGCAGTCTACCATTCGACAAAATTGCTATGCGATCGGCAAGATTTCTAGCCTCAGTTGGGCTGTGGGTTGTCAGTAAAATTGTGCGATTCTTCTTCAGCTCCTGAAAAAAATGTAAGAACAACTTTGTCTTATCTTCATCCACTCCTTCAAGTGGATTGTGGAGCAGCACAATTCGTGTTCTTCCGGCAAAGGAACACAATGTATGCAATATACGTTTCTGGCCGCTGGTAAGAAACCTGACTGGAGTTGTTTCTAGATCCTCCATTTTCATGGAACGCAAAAATAATAATGTTTCTTCTCTTGCTTCATTGTGTTTCAGACCCCGCAGCCTACAGAAAAACATAAGATGCTCTAGCACGTTGAACTCTGTATGGGTTTCAATACGGTGGATGGCATGGCCAACGTGTTTAAAGTTTTGAAACTTTGCCATGTCTCGGTCACACATAAAGATTTTGCCAGAGGAAGGCAATAGCAGTCCGGAGGCCATGTTAATAATTGTGTATTTTCCCGACGCATTATGGCCCAGTAGCGCTACCACTTCGCCCTGATAGACTTTGAGTGAGAAGTTTTTCACCACAAATTGATCAGATAACTTTTTCCATACGTTTCGAAACTCAATGGTCGCATCGGATTTCTTTTGCACTTCCGAAACTCCGTTGATTAGTTCATCAATATTTTCCGTCTGCTGGATTATCTCTGGTTCAGGATCACTTTTCTGCTCGCTATTAACTTGATGGCTGTAACGGTGAAACCCAGGGATAATAGTTATAAGTTAAAACGAGGAGGAACGTTGTGAGGCGCGCCTAACAGTCAGTCAATAAAATTTTACATTTTCAATATTTTTTTACATCTGTCATCTACACCTAAATCACGTCTCACGGCCTTGTAGCTCGTTCACATCTCTCCACCAGAGGCACGCCGCCCTCTGGCTGCAGGAGGCACACACTCGGATGGCATACCTATTAATAAATAATCTTGATTTTACAGCTCGCAAATTAAAAACTTCTTGGGCTTTTGTCTTTTTGAGTTTAGCTGACTTTTTGAAATTAATCCAAAACTCGTGCAGAATTCGATACTTAAGAAAATGAATTAACCAACCAAAAGTATAATCAGACACGAATAGAGCCAGCAACACATAAGAAAAGGCCTGAAAATAGAAACATCCGATAACTGTTAAAAGCTCAATATCACTGCCGGTAACTGTGGAGAAGAGATATTGTCTAGCGCCCAATATCGAGGGATATCCCTCGAAGTAAATCATCTTCTGTAAGCCTTGAATCATAGTCACATTGCATAGAAGTATTGAAGTTAGATATGAATTGTCTAACTCCAGCGTTTTTTCCGACAAAAAAGACAGCGGCACTACAATCCAACATATTGGCACGGAGACAAGAGCTAATTTTGTGTTGTGGACTATGGCGGACATTAAAATGGCAAAGCCAACAGCTGCGAACATGTATGATGATATGAACAGGAGCATTATATACCAAGGGCATTTACTCAAGCTCGTCGATGTTCCATTCCACTCAATCTGAAAATTTGCATCGATTGAAATCTTAACAATATCGAATACTCCAGCCGTCTCACCTTAAGCATAACAGTTATAAGAACTGAAGTCACTAGGAACTGGCAGAGTCCACTGAAGTACCAAGATGCAATTCTTAATGTCTTTCCCAAATTGGTACCTTTCTGAAGGAAAACTTGGCCAAGCTCACGTTCCTCTACTATTTGCTGAAACAAAATGCAAAATGCAAATAATTAGATAACATTTAGTATGGTATTAGTCGTATTTAAACAAAACGAGGAGGAACGTTGCTTTAGCACTGGACGCGATTGAACGCGTCTCTCAACGTTGATTTACATTTATTATACAAATTAGTAAAACAAGTAATGTATTTTTCTTTTAGTCTCTGCTTTATGTAAGCCTTCTATCCTAAGTTAGTGAGATGAGATTTTTAAACATTGATTACTTACCTTGGTGAGCATTGTAACAGGATATATGAATCCAAGAAGGAAGAGCAATATAGCCGACGTGTCCACTTTACCAAGTATGTTAAATCCATTTCCAGCAGCATCGAAGCGTCGCAAAAATACCTCTGGTAATTCCGAGACAACGGACGCGATTTTTAAGTATTCAGAGCTAATATAGTACTGCAGAGGGACAAAGCCCTCACGTATGTATCCCGTGGTTCCATCGTCTTGTGCTTCTCTTTCATCAAAACTATGACGATTATACGAAATTCCCAATTTCCAGTTGTCACCAAGCCATGTTTTTTCATAGTTACGGAATTCCGATGCCATTATTATCGCAAAGTTTAACTTCAGCGGTAGGCCACTCTTCGATTCGTCAATATTGTGGAAGCAAACACTTGCAATGTGGTGCTGAGTATAAGCTTGAATACGCAAAATATCACAATTTTCGAAGCCGATAATCTTATCTCCTGCTAAGGATAACTCTCCCAATGCGCTTTTCATGAGCTTCTGTATACCAACTGTCGTATTCGGTGCAAAACCAACCCTTATTTCAGGCATAAATACGTTGCTCTGAAAGCTATAAAAAGAAAGCTACGATAACACTACTCGGCTAAGAAATTGTCTGATAATATATTTTTTGAAGTAATGCAACGTTTGATGGAACCAAATATGTGTTACTTACTTAACTTGTTCTTTAACCATTTTTTCCCGTCGAAAATTGATTTTTTCGACAAGGTTCTTCCAGCTGGTTTTAAGGTTGATTGTATCAAATTTGGTAATATTTTCGTTCACAATGTCATTATTCGAGGAACTAATCAGTAAAAGATAGAACGAGAATGCAACGGGGAAAAATATAGAAAAAATTAAGGTCGATTTTTTATTCGTTTGTTTTTTTAAGTTTTTCAAAACTAGAATCCAAAATATTCGGTAAGCCATTTTCAGTTGAATATATATCAATATGAACAGGCAAAACAAAAAATACGATTGAAAATTGGGGCAATGACATATGAAAAAAGGCGATTATGTTTCTCGACAGGTGTGGCATGTATTGCTGCTTTAACGATAAATAAACGGATTGCTTTTCTCAACCTATTGATGGACTAGGTGCAGCTGGGGCTGAAGATTTGATTAATTTGTAGACCTATAAAACATTCTCACTTGAGAAGATCACAATCTTGAAGCTCATCTAACTGAGAAAACGTTTAACTGGCTACAATAATGATCCGATATGATCCAGACTTTGCAGACTGATGGATAATTCTCTACGATAATTCTTAGCGTATCTTCACCGAGCCACAGATTCACGAAAAAAGGCAACGGATTTTGTATCCTTATTGGAGCGAAAGGTCGGGGTATGACACATATATATACTCTCCGGTTTGTGGCTATACTCATATAATTCATAGGTGTATTATCGGTTAAAAGACCAAAACGTTCCCGACACAAAATCTTCACAAATGTAAATATAGATGTATACTGAAGTTTCTGTTGCTTTCATCAGCTGTTTTCAAGACGCACGTCTGACAATGTGAACGCATTTTTTGCCTAATTGCGTCTATGCGGATATCGATTGCAGACGCGCCCATTGTAAAAAGGCTATTAGTGGAAATGGTATATCGATGTATCGATATATCAAAAAATATTTAGCAGCCCTAACGTCAATTCCAAATTTCAACCAATGTAAAAACTTGTTCAAAAAGTATGTATGTACGCGCGTGGGCTTGGTCGCTGTCAGGTAAAAGAAACCTGTTGAATTTTTTTTTCAATTTTTTTTTTGTTGGAAAGTTTCTGAACACCATTAGATAAATGCAGTGATAAAAAAGCTAATCAGATAGCTAGATATTCTTATTGTTTTTATGTTTCAAAAGTCGTTTACACACACATGCGCAAATATTGAGTGAACATATGTACATACAGCAGCATAAGTGGAACAGGAAGAGGGCAACAAGTGGATTTCTACGCTGCGATCGACAACTAAACTGTGTGGAATGATAAATACCACATACATACATACATTTGTATACATATATGTTCGTTTTGTATGTAGTTCATATGAAATGAGTGAAAACTAATAACATAAACACTTGTTGTCTTGTGGGTAAATAATGTTGCATATAAAACGCGAAGTGAAATCTTAAAGTAAATAACAGAAAAACCAAAGTTAAATATTTAAAAGTATTTTAGTGTTGCTGGAATGCATTAAGTCAAATACGAAAAAGTTCGAAAATTCATGCTTCGACTTCAAGCAATTAAAAATGAAGTGCAGCTAGCTGCATACGCTTGTCCCAGTCAAAGCAGAAGTAAACACGGAATTTAACCACATTCGCAGTAATGTGCATTCGTCTTTACTTATGCTGTATAACTATGACTATAAAACTAACAGCTTGCACAGTCGCAACGGGTTTCTCCTTTATTATACCTGACCGAAATACAAATTTCATCCTAACATGTTACACCAAACTCTCGAAGAGTTTAGGAATATATGTATTAGTTTTGTGTAAATGTGTGTAACTGTAAGTGGCTGTAAATTTCTGTTCGTCTGTCCGAAGATTCGATGACACTGGACTGACTGAGAAATTTTCAAGATTGATGGTATTTTTTTCTCTCTCTCTCCCTCTTACACACTCTTCCCGTTGCGTATGCGGCAGTGGAGAGCCAGATAACGGCTGATTTGGCTCTAAGAAGTGAGAGAGATAGATGTGGCAGAAACAAAACAGTAGTAAAAAAATGAGCATAGAGAAAATCTTCTACAACCCGAAAAGTACGGGTTTTTTTTAGCTATCTCCGTTTGATTTTTGGTAGATAGAACTAGTTAGACACAGCAACATTTCATCGCGCTTTGCTTTTCTCTCTGATAAAAACTAAATAACTAATACATCTAATTAAAGATTTAACACTTCATGCACTGAGGTATAAAACAATTAATATTTAAAAAAAGGCTTTGGAAAGATTTTCTTATTTTAATTGGAAGTCCTTGCGCCTATTCCATTAATCGATACAAAACACAACTGCAATTTTCAATCGAAAATCCATTAGCCTATTCCATTGATCGAGTATGAATTTGGGTTTCAAATGCTTAAATGTTAATAGGCTTGATTGCTTATTTATTTGTTGTGTTCATGTTTCAACAGCATCTAAGTAATAGTTACCGTCGCAAAAACGGGATAAAGGAACCTGGCTCTTGAAACGCTCAATCTCGGAGTTCTCAAAATGGATGCCACTAACCTGGACCCCCACACAGCCTTTGATGAAAATGAAACGGTAGCAGCTCCCAAGGAGGATGGCGGGGATATGCAGCTGAGAAACTTGTCGTTTTCCTTTGTACGCGTAAGTAAAAAATATGAATGCATTTCACAACGCCCAGTGTCATAGCAAATTATGACACTTTTGAAACTCTGCAAGGGCCAGGACTATAAATATAAATAAAGGAATGAAATGCATAAATCTCTCTTTGAATTATCCCTGTGCTCCAAAGGGGGAAAGGTTTTCCTTGTCTATGCCCTACCATAAAGTTCATAACGTTTTCCATATACGGTGACTCTGAGTTGTGGACTGCACACGGAAATGTAACTCTGAATCTGGCAGAAGCGATTGAATTAGTATTATCTGGTCCAATCTTGTCCGAACATTCAAAGTATATTGTGTGTAGGAAGTGTATCTGCATTTATAGAAGTAATCTTATTTAGTGGCGCGCTCTAGATTTCATATTTGGTTGAACTACTTATGTACAGAAAACATGCATTTTGCTGATCAGACGTTCATTTAATTCAAATTATTTATATAAATACATACATTGTGCTAATTTATTTATTATGTGAAAGAAAAAAAAAAGAATTCCGTTGAAGATTTAGGAATCACTCTGAATCTGCTCCATAGCAATTCCCTTAGAATTTTGGTACTTAATACGATAAGTACCCTCTGGATCGTAGATTTTCTCAAGACGCTCCCAGTCGTTAGGACGGTTATCAATCAGATGCCGGGTCACCTTCTCGGCACCAAATTTTTGTTTTTCCGTACATTTGGTGCAGTCAGTTAAAATTGCATCGGGTAAGATATCTTCAAGTGTGATAGAAAGTTGTGTAAAAAGGAATACCATTTGGTGAATTGATTGGTAAATAAATAAATAACTTACCCCTTAGCATTTTTGCGTCGGGTGTACAGGGGCCGGTGCTCTCCAAGCACTTTATGTAGTTGTTCAGTAATCGCTCTTGGGCTAGTATCTCGTCCAAATCTACATTATCGAACTTCTCGTCGTAGACACCATCTACCAACAGTGGGGCTGAAGTTGTCTGCGGTGGATGCGGAAGTCCATTTATTTGGGTGCAGCTAACGAACATTAGCGTCACCACCACAACGGTGCGAAACATACCGGTGTGCGACATTTGAAATAAAGAATTGTTTCAAATTCGACTAGTAGTCGCAAGAGGCGCAGCTTTTATAGTTAGCCTACCAGCCCCATTTAGTGAGCGTTTCGTGTTTGTCTCTAATTTAGAACCATCCAATTGATCGCAAATTAAATGAATTGGATTTTGAACTATTATTTTAATGTAACAGTCGCACGACATCTTATAGGCATTTGCCCATACATTGCCTATGCAGTGTGAAAACTTTCTTGCACTTTGTTTTGCACACAATGGTTTTTTTGCACTTTGCAGTTTGTTTTAAGCTTTAAATTTCAATTATTTCATTTATTTCAGGGGTCTGATCCGAGAGCTGCAACGTGTCGAGGCAAGCTGCAGAGCCGTCGCTGCAAACTAAACCAAGAGATTAACAAGGAGCTTCGCTTGCGAGCTGGAGCGGAGAATTTATACAAGGTAAGAAGTACAATATTAAAAAAACTGTACTGTGACATTATACCATATTAACGGCGTTCCCAATTACTATTGTTCCTATGTTAAGGTGACAACCAACCGCAAACTACGCGATACAGTAGCCTTGGAGCTGAGCTTCGTCAATTCAAATTTGCAACTTCTAAAGGAGCAATTAGCAGAGTTAAATTCATCTGTGGAAATTTACCAGAACGAGAAGTGAGTTACATTTAGATATCAATTTTACCCGCATAGGAACGAAAAGAGGACGGCATTGGCTCGAAAGAAAAGTCATTTTAAGAACGCATACATCGGCAGAACGGAATTATTGTTATCTCTTGAGTTCTGTTATCAGTTTTAGGCTGGTAACGTTGATATTACAAAATATCTCTTACTTTGTACAAAGCACAATCATTTGCTGGAAGTGGAGAAGGAAACTTTTCCGTATCCATTTCCATATCTATATATAGTCTTGTTCAGCATTAATAGCCGAGTCGATAGAGCTATGTCTGTCTGTCCGTCCGTTTGTTCGACCGTCTTGATGAGCGACTTGATCTCAGAGAGATCAGCTGCTATAAGTAGCACATACTTATTTCAAAATATTATTAATGGGCGATGAGAAGAGAAATCGTGTAAAACACGAACGAGCAATCAAAAATCGCGTAGATTCACCTTGCTATAACCTAAATTCGCCAATAGCCCGGTAAAATTGCAATGATTAAAATTACACAAATTGCACAGATTGGAACATGAGTTGAACATGTTGGCAGTCCCAACTGGGACCTCGATGTCATGGGACGAATATGAGTACTGGCAGCGAACTTGGACCTCAAACAGCAATATCTACGACGAGCGTTTCCTTGTATGAGCTGGCACATCTAGATACTTACTCGATGAATGAGATCTATTCCTGAGCACTGAACAAGTTGTTCCAGTTTTTGCCTTTTAGAGTTCTGATTCTACACCAGAAAATTATTAGCTGAACAGAGTACCCATTATAAAAATGAATGCTGGCTGATTGGTTTGAATAGATTATGATAAATTATTTTTATTGAATTATAGTCATGATGGCGTGATTCCAATGATACCCTTGGGTCTTAAGGAAACCAAAGAAATTAATTTCATGGAACCTTTTTCGGACTTCATTTTGGAGCACTATAGCGAGGAATCCTCAATTTATATGGATGCAATTGCAGATATGACAGACACCAGACAGGCAAATCAACTTGAACTAGAACTTTCTTTGAATTAAGTGTAATAGTCATATTTTTTACAGGCATCCAAGACTCCATCACGCGATTCTCTTGGCGTTGCATTGCTTTTTCGATACTACAACTTGTTGTATTATTTGGAACGCCGTTTTTTCCCGCCTGACCGTAACCTGGGCGTCTACTTTGAGTGGTATGATTCGTTAACAGGTGTTCCCTCGTGCCAGCGAACCATATCCTTCGAGAAGGCGTGCATTTTATTCAACCTTGGCGCCATATACACACAGATCGGTGCTAGACACGATCGAAGTACGGAACGGGGCTTGGACTCCGCTGTCGACAGCTTCCTGCGTGCAGCGGGCATATTTCGTCATATCTACGATACGTTTACAAATGCCCCATCAATGGATCTAAAACCTCACGTACTAGATGTTTTGGTGTCTCTAATGCTGTCCCAGGCCCGAGAGTGCCTATTTGAAAAGCTAAAACTACAGACTGAGTCGTCGGGGCTGACCGTCTCCAGTGATGTCAGAGTAAATGACAGCGGTGCGCCCCAATCCAATGAATTGCTTCAGCTTTTCCGTGATTTGGCCGGTGAAGCTGCACAGCTCTCGCTCGAGTACAATGAGATGCACAAGAACATCCAAGTGAATGACACGCATACCTACCTGCCAGAATGCTGGGCTGGGCTGGTACCGCTTAAGGCGGAGCTTTACAGAGGTGAGCAATTGAGCAAAATAATCAAATCAAATCCACTTTTAAGCTTTTATGTCTAGCGATGGCCCACCATTACGAGGCTCTTAGCATTGATGTGAAGGTGGCTATCAAGAAAGGTCCGGTCCCGGTCGCATCTTCAAAGGATTCGTTCGTTGGAAACCCTCGAGAGGCATTGCGTGTCACGCAAAGCTGCGCTGAGTCCGAGGAAGAGAGTGCCAGTCTCATTTCGATCAAGCATACGCACTTAAGAGAAGCTCTTGCTAGTTACGAAGAGGTTCAGCGTCTGCAGCGCATGTGCCGCTTTCTGAAGGTTTGTTGAATTATCCCGAATGTTGAATTTCTTTTATTAAATACGATTTCGTTTCGTTATAGAATAAAAAATCACTCACGCAAGTCATAAAGGAAGCAAATTATCGAGCCCTGGAGCAGTATGAAAACTTTAGAACTCAAGCGTCGGCCAACAAGGTTGACGACAGCTACGACCTTGTAGAGCGCGTTGTGGAGGGTAATGTCGATTCAAAATTCCTATAAGAGAGTGCCGGTTTATTGCAATTAAATCTGTATCTACTTTTTAAGCCTCGTCGAAGTTTACATTGACCTTGACGGGACCCGATTTCACGTCGTACAAAGTGGAAGATCCTTTTAAACGCCTTGGACCGCTTGCGATATTCTCTGCACGGCGTCACTGGACTGCGCCACGCTGTGTTCGTCTACAAAAAGGATCCCCGATACATCATGCCATCCGTGACACTGTCACGACTCCTGCTCATGACAAGGATCGCTGCCAATATAAAGAAGAGATGGAAAACTTTGGATTTCATGTGCGCGGCGATGCGCCGGTCATTATAGCTCATGTCGAGATCAATTCGCTGGCTGATGTAAGTATTTTATAATTTGCGAGAGCGGATACCAGTATTGAATTACAATTGTATTCGCAGCTGGGCGGCATAAAGGAGGGAGATTTCATTGTCGAAATCGAAGGCATGGATGTCAAGTGGTTTTCGCATCAACAGGTTGTACATCTAATACAATCATGTGGTTCCGTCCTTGAACTGAAAGTCATAACTCCAATGGATCGCAATTATTTAAAGGTGCGTTCATTGACGCTACATATTTTAATTCTGATGTAATAATAACACCTGCTACCTGTTCGGTTACCCACCCACAGCCCTTGTCGTCAAAGGGTTCTATATCAACGCTGTCAGCGGCTAGCTCATCGGGTTTTTCATCGGGCTCATCTAGTCCCACAAACACCACTGCACAGCACGAGCCTATCATGAAGACATCGACCAAGTCACGTTTCGTGGGCAGCGTATCGTCCAGCTTATGGAATCCATTCAGACGAACGCCGAGCATAGCCAAAATCTTTTGAGGTTTACAAGGAATTCATTTATTTCATTAATTAATTTAATTAGGTTTATACTCACTTCCGAAGCAGCTGCCATTATAAAATAGAACGAGCGATGACATATAATTTACCTAAAGATTTTAAGACTTAGCTCAGATAAATCGGTTCACATCTGTATATATTTTTGGCTTTTGGAAAAATGTGAAAATGGAAAATGCGTACATCAAAGATATGTATGCATGTATGTCTGTATATCTATTTTCTGACCGAAACTGGTCCACCGAGACCAAACAATTAAATGTCAATAAAATCACATTTCCATTTCATTCCGTCCCGATATTATTACCTAAATTATAAGGTAAGTCAGTCATTGGCACATAATTACGAGAAATTGTAGATATTATCTTGGTATTTTGTGCTGACAATGAGGATGAGAATTTTATTGTTGGCTTAGATATTAAACAGTCAAAAATCGTATTTTAATGTTTTGTGCACCTCAAATCATTGTGGAATCGGGATATAATATTGTATTTTGTTGTTTTATACCATCGTCAGCCAAAGGGAACGTTGTTTTGGAGCCAAACACTGTAATACACGTGTACGTGAGCGAAAGCGCAGCAGCAGCGCCTTTTCCTCCCATGCACACAATAAAAATATGTACTTACGTGAAATATGAGAAAAGGGATAGTCTTTACCATCTAATATTGAGATAGAATCAACCAACGTACCGAGGAGCATACATAAGGAATTGTATTTTATCACCAAGGTAAAAAGAATAGCAGAAAAAAATGAAACAGTTTTATTTTAAATAAAGTAGAGTTTTACAGTTGACCAGACCTGGAACTGTTTTAATTTAACAACTCATCAGCGATCCATGGTTGTATATTCGTCACTCCACTTACTCTTCCGTTTCCGCTCATTCTTTCCAGTAATGGTGCCTATTTCGTGCATCAGCCAATCCCAAAATAAATGCAATTGTCGCAAGTTTTGATCCTCACATGGTTCAATATTATTTATAAGTTTTCATTTTATATTATTTCTTAAATATGTATGTTCATATTTTGAGCAAAACAAAATTGAAAAGAACGTAATTCGATAACTAAACAATATTGGCAGACAGTGTAGTGTAGATAGTCGTCCAATTTGTGTGAAGTCGCTATTGCTTTTCTGTACTCTTTCGCCTTTAAAGTAATGGATATTTCCTAGATGGCTAGATGAAATATACCTGTCATTCCTTTAGCGGACCATTCACAGCAAATCAAATTAGTTTACTTAATTCTCGAACGTGCCCTGTTGGAACCCTGTTATCAATCGGCTGGATTATTACTCATTCATTTTATTTATAGATGATAACGAATTAAATACTGATGGCTTTATGTGAAATTATAAAACTATTCGATGTTGCACGATGAAGAACATTGCACTGCTTAGACGCCGAAAATCCATATTGTGCTTCAAGTTATTAACAAATGACCAGTCACGCTATCACTTTGAATTTAATTCGGCAACATGAATTTGTCGATGAAGATACACACATACATATGTATGTAAGCATATATGTACATATGTATTTACATATATATGTAAATAATTCATTGCCAATTCTGGGAATACCATAGACAAGAACAAGGACAAGGGTGCAATAAGTAAAATTGTTTGCCTGGTTAGGATATAAGAATACGATCCGGATTTGACAATTGTTTATGCCCAGTTGCTTGAGAATTGGAGGACTCAACCATACATATGTATGTATGTAAATACATATGTACATATGCATATACGAATAGTTGTGATAAAAAAATATTTGATTGGATATATTTGTCCATATCCTCACATGACACCATTTATACATGATTACATACATATACGATTTACAAAGCACTTATTTATTTAGGTTTTATTAGGTTTATTTTTATAAATGAGTTATTATACAATATAATACTAATGTTCCGTATCCCTAGAATTAACATTTAACGGTCATGGTAATTTCGAATAATTATTACACCTACAAATCTAAGATGCTTACCATATAAAAGTAATTAAAATTTCTAGTTAGAGATCTTTATTTTTGTGTTTGTTTTTCTTTATTCTATGGGTTTCTTTTAGATGCTTTAACGAGAACTGACAGTATTTGCCCAAAATGTTTCTATCAGTCGGTGTAAGAGGGCCCTAAAAGGGAGGCACCATCAAGCGCATGTTGGGCTGGGTGCACAAGTGCAGTTTTTTTCTTTTCTTTTCTTATCATCATCATTATCTTTATTTTTCGCTAAGACGAATTTTCAAGTTCTTGACACGTCTCACAACGAGTCGTAAATTAACTATCTAGCACATTTAAACTTTTGTTTTATATATACAGCAGCCTGTTCATTAATTTTACCTACTCAGACGCTGGCATTATTTGGGCCTGAGGTATGTATACAAAATCCGGTTTTTCTTTTCTTTTTTGCGATGGTGAATAAGGTTAGGCTAGGCGTTCAAATGAACGTATTTATGTATGTTTAGTTATGTATGTAAGTATTCAATGGTATGTATGTATGTATGTATGTATGCTTGTGTGTAATCCTTTTGTGAAGCAAGTTTTCACTCATAAATTGCAATATTCTTTATTCATTTGACTTTGACCATTACTGCTTGTTTCTGCTTTTCTGCTTTTCTGCTTCTCTGCTTCTCTCATTTAGGTTAACTTTTGTATTAGCATTTAAGTTATTATTTAGGTTTATGTTTATGCACATAAGAATACGCTTTTGTCCTTGTGTCTTTTAAGTGAAGCATATTTAATGCGACTAGAAATGCCGGTCAAGGGTCAAGATCTTATTCTCCACATAATACAAACAAAACAAAAATTGTGCGGCTGAGCCCTGTGTGAGCTGATTGCGGATACCTGTACTACCTGTACGAATGCGAGTGTCAATGTCAAGTCGAATACAATTTAAAATATATCTATGATTTTCCACTATCAATGTTTATATTCCGGGTAGCAGCCATTCTCGATGACTTGTCCTGATTGACTGTTGTTGCTGCTGCTGGTATCGCCTGATTGATGCTGAAGCTGCTGTTGCTGCTGATGATGGTGCTGCTGATATAAGGGTAGCTGATGCAGCTGATGCTGCTGTTGACTTGCTGCCACCGTATCTGCCGACTGTAATATGCGTCGAGTACGAAGCTGGATAGCACTTCCACTGCTTTCCGTCTCCGTTGAGGGTGGTGAGGGATAGAAGTCCCTCTGACTTACACTTGTACCATTTTGGACGACTGGCAAACCCATTATACAGTTGTTGCTGGCTGCCGCCGCCGTTGCCGCTGAGGAGGATTGAGGATCGCCGTGGTGCTGATGTGGATGCTGAAGGTGGATAACGTTGCTCGTTGTAGCCCCTGACATAGGTCCTACGCCGTTGTATGGTTGGGAATCCGAAATTGTTGCGGACTGCGGCTGGTCCAATACCACGACGGATACCACATCTTCACTCGCCCACCGGGCTAACTGTTGTTGAGCTTGAATAAAGTCATCACTAGAAAATAATAATCGTAACAGGAACAACGGTACATGGTAAGAACGCAGGAGGCGCTAACGGGAAAAGGGACAAGGATTGGTTCAGGATGAGGGTAACACTTGTTGCAACAAAAAATCCGGCTTACACTTTGAAAGTTGGGTCTCTTCGAAATTCATATTGTTCAATTGTGATCGGACAAGTACTAAATCAGTAAATCGTTTAGGCTCTAGCATTACGGTCTCCCGGCAAGTCAGGATATCAGAGTGTGCGTCAACTTGTTTTATCCAGACTGGCTTTAATAATAATACTATTCAATAGGCGAAAAAGTCCACCTTTTTTATAAGATTCGTGGGTGCAAAGATACGTAATGATGTTTGATGTTTTGGAAGAAAATAAAAGGTCAGCCATGTCTTTCTATTGTATTAAGTTTGATCAAATCATCAAGAACCACACAGCAAATTTTCTTCTACAATGGCTAATTAAAGTTTCAAAGTTTTCATAGATCGCACCGTGAGGTAGATGGGTAAAACAATTTGAATTAAGTCTACGGATTTTAAACAACACACTACCCGACACCAAACCATACCAACTTATGGTACTTCCACTTTTCCTGAGTTTGGTTCGAAGCGTAAATAGAAATTGTAATTTTGTCGAGTAGTGAGATTGGAAATAACAAAGAAACAATGAAATTATTAACCAAAAGTTGAACGAATGAGGGCAGAATTTAGATTTGATATTGGCAAATGGGGAAGTACATTCATAGGAAATGAAAAGAAAAGACAAGAACGGTCTGAGGAAGGAATACAGAGACATTGACTCACCTTTCGCTATCTGGTGTCTCCTGTGAATCAAGACGAGCATCAGAAACATTACGTTGGTCGGCGGTCTCATATAGACCATCATCTTCCTGGTGTAAATGAGTGTGCGATGAGTGATGCGAGGAGTGGGGACCATGCGTGGCATGTCCGTGAGCATGAGAATGATGCGAGTGGTGTCCGAATTGATGTGGTGAGTGTGACTGATGTTGTGCATGTCGGCCTGCTGGCGTCGGCTGTCGGTAGCGGCTGCCGTAAGCAAACCGCGACTCCTCATCGGAACGGGGACGACAGCGACTGCTGTACGACGAATGAATTGTAGCGGTTTTCTGAGTTTGTGCTAGTTGCTGATTGGAGCTGCAGCGATACGGATAAAATAGAGGCAAGCAAATAATCAAATGCGTTAGTGAGTGTCAAACAAGATCATTGCAATGGAAGAGAAAGAGGAAGGTGTTAAGGAAGAAACTGAAAGTGAGCCGATGCCGATGCCGATGTCGATGCCGATGCCAATATCGATCAAGAACTGAGAGAGTTGTGTGTTTTTGCAGTTTTAACAGCTAACAGCCCTCAAATATCGACACCACATTGATTTTGCTTATGTAAAAAGTGCACATGATTATGTAAATAATTAAACGATGGCTTAGTCAGCCTACAAGATGAGATTTGGAGTCAGATTTGGAGTAGACGTGCTACGCATGGGCAACGAACCTTTATCACACAAGGTATTCCAGTCTGAAGCCTGCAAGAGATGCAAATAAAAATTTGCGTTGGCTTGAGTTGCATTTTTGATACTGAACTGGCAACCCAACCGGCAGCAGCTTATAGCAGCAGCTGTTGACGGTATAGGGTCAGGTACATAGTGGGTTATTGTTTACACATACATCGTGCATTTGTATATGCGAGTGTGTTTAAAATGCGAGTGTGTATGGGCGAACGAACATATTACGATTACGGTCTTTGTTGTCTATGTAGGACGACAGTTCTAAAGCCTTAAGTTACATCGATTAGGTAATCAAGCTCCTGGGCTACAGTAGCAAATATCATAGTATGAATTTAGGCAAACAGAATCGTATTGAATCAATGATTGTGATTAAGCATGATGTTTTTTTGTTAGTTTTGTTCTTTGGCTATTTCTATAGCAAACACATATAAGTAGTAGCAGTTCTGATAGATGTAGAAACATCTAGGAATGATTTTACTTTCAGTTAAAACATTGATGAAATATGTATGCAATATGTTGCAGTTAAGGCGTTAATCGGGTGTCAGACTCGGGTGGTGTTAGAAAAAACTAATGAAGGTTAATCATAATCATAATTGGCACTAACCCTTGTGAGGACTCACTACAAGCAGCGGAACTATCTAATCTATAGTGGCGATCGGCGTCTGTTTCCGACATGCGGATATCCTCGGAGCCGCTGGGACTCATGTGCCGCGACGAGTGGTGCTCAAGCTGCCGTATAAGATCCTCCAAATTACGTATACGCAAGGGTCCTGTTGAGGGAGCGTCCTCCTCGTCAGGCTGCTGTTGTTGCAATGATAGAGGCGGCGGCTGATGCAATTGGTGCTGCGAGCGATGGTGATGCAGCATCGCATTGCCATGCCCCATACCCCCAGCAATAACAGATGATCCACCCCCAGCACCTAAGCTCGATCCCAGACCCAGGCCACCAAGGCCAGATCCGCTGCCGTCAAGTAAAATGGCGTGCAAAGCGTTATTGTCACAAACATTTTCCCTTGAACTGGACTTGGATCCACTAGTGCGCTTGTATGGCTCAGCGGAGTATCCCAACTGGGCGCTGCTACAATCTTGTAACGTTTTACGCAACATTTCTTCGCTTAGGCTGCCACTGCCAACCGGTGTGTTGCCAGTTCCTGTGCCACGGTGTGTGGCCGCATTCCGGAGAGCTTCCAAAATGTCCTCGTGGTATCCGTTGAGGGACTTGAGCGTTCGTTCGACTTCAGAGGCAGCCACTCCACCGCTCGTTGAGGCCAGCGTCCCGTCCTGAGTAATCAGCTCAAGATTGTCCGACTGGTTATCGTCTCCCCATTTGTCTTTAAGCTGCTCTCCGTGCACAAGCCCATAGCCATGTTTCTTTAAAATACCCTTCTCTGTGGCGCCCAATATCAATCGATTGTGTTCGTAGCGTTGGTTAAGATCCAATGTACATGTAAAAGAATATATAAATTTTGTACAGACAAACACGAGACTGCGCAGTGCATAAACAGGTCATACATGAGAGCGCATAGATATCATTTGTTTTTTTTTTATAAGTATTCTAAGCTGTATTCCTAAACACTTTTGTGCCGAAAACCAAACAAAAACAGAAATCTACATAAATATTTTCTGTGGTATGCTTTAGCTTGTGGTAAAAAGATAATAGAATCTCCTAATTTGAATCTATTTAAATTGTAATTTGATTTCTTATCTATGTTCGAATCGCATGATCGTTATTGTAATTTATTCGCGTTAAATGCGGGCTTTAAGTAGGTTTGACAACTAATAAACGATTTTTTCTGTAGAGTTTGAAAGTTGCAAACGGTCAGAAGTAACGATTTTTCCAGCGAAAACAAAATTTAAAAAGAAATGTAATTATTGTTTCCCGTTCAATAAAATGTTTAAATTTAAATATTAAGTTGTTTTTTTTTTAAGAAATATGAATTAATTTATTTATGAGTAGAAAACACATATGGAAAAATCGAAGGTTTGCGATCCGAGATAGTTTTTTGTGTAGGTAGTCGATGGAAAGCTATACAAAAAACTAATTCGCCTCTGAGTGATCCGCTCCGATTCGCATAGTTTTTGCACTTTATTAGACCTCAAAGGCGAACCACATTTTGTTCTCAATTTGCATGAAAACCAAAACCAAAACTTAACGTAGAGCTGCGAAATTCTCTTAATACGCTGCAAGGAACAGAGATTCTATGTGAGAGGAATCAAGAACTTAGCCTAAAAATGGTAACAACTCCCACAACAGAAATATGAATATGTTAAACAAAGCAAAGTTTATAAGGTATTGTATTAGGATTCAGGCTTTAATTTGTTTTGCTCGTATACGCCATGTGCTACGAATGATCCAGCACTTCTACTCAACGCACCAACCCCAGACGGAGAACACGATTTAAACCCTCAAAGGGTACAATTCAGGACCATTAAATAGCAGCAGTCATTACCTTTTAAGAATTTTAAAGCTCTTTACATGTTACAGGTAACTTCAATTATTTGTAAAAGCAAGAACAACTTCTAAAGAACAAACAAAAATTCCACACTTTTAACATTTAAAATATATGTATATATGCATGGATGTATGTACATACATATATTCATGTATAAATTGATCAGCTTTAACAACTAACAGCTTTAACAGCTATACAAAAATGTAAAACTTTGTGTGTTTTTGTAATGGCCGCAATGTATATGCACATAAAAACTTATACAAGGTTGGCCAGAAAAATGCGCAAAAATAGTTCCTTGTCACATATTGGAAAAGCTTAAAAAATAAAAAATTGTTCATGTATTAAAACAGAATCGGTCACACAGCTATGTTTATAAGTATGTACACAGGTATTAGCAAACGATAATCATAGGTAGAAGGATTTATTAACCTGCATGTGACTGATCGTCCTCGCCACCAGCTGTATAGCGACGTCCATGCACGACTTTGTCCCTGAGGAAGACGAATGACGAAAATCAAAACAAATTATCATAACTGCTGGGGAAGCTGCTAAAAGCCGCTAAAAGCTGCATTCAATTGACTGCGAATACTCACCTGAAGCCTGTCTGATTGGCATACACCAATTTGCTGGAACCGTCCAAGGAAACCTCCTCAACGGAATGATGGTTTGGTGCTGTGGCCGCACCGCCATAGCTCTTGGCAATCGGTTTCTTCGAGTAGGGCGGATCGTACTTCATTGTAGTAGTCTTGCGTCTATATCGACATCGGCGTCAATATCGATGTGGTAGTTGTTTATTTGATTTATATTTATTGTTACAGGTCATATAGTGGGTATATATTTAATTTGTATAGTTTCCATGTTTTATGTATATGTGTTATAATTGATGGGAAATATTTTATTTCATTATAGAATATCATTGAATGTCAATGTTTAGTCATGTTGGGACAGTTCGATTCAGTTTGGATTCGGTTTCGATTCGGTTTGGTTTGGTTTGGTTTGGTTTGGTTTGGTAGAACGGTTGATAAACGGTACAAACGATGCATATGAGGCATAAACGTGCCCCCATAACACACACATTCACGCGATTCAATTGTGTGTGTTGTTGCGTGTGTGGGTGTGTATTTATAAGGGAGCGTTGGCGTTGATTGATTTATATCATGAAATTCAATTTGGATTTGATCGATATCGATTTGAATTGTTTTTAATTTTGTTGTTGTTGTTGATATTGGTTTTGTTGGATCGTTATTTTGATTTTGTTGTCGATTTTTGTTAGGAAACGAAATGGTATAATGAGATTCTTGATTAATAATATGTTTTTAGGTAGTGAAAATACATTATATCGAATATTAAAATTTTGTTATTAAGTATACATACATATGTATGTATGTATGTATGTACATATGTGACCACAAATGTACTATTGTACATATGCATATGTACATATGTAAATAAATACATCAAAATGCCTAATCCTACATAGTTAAATGAACTAAGTATGTAGGTGTATAAGCATGTACATAAGCATTAAGGTACATACATACATATATATGTACATTTAATGTAATAGACGTAATGGGTCGTAAAACAATAAATTCTGTATAAATGTAAGAAGAAAAAATATTCGAAAATGGAAACAAAAGGCCAAAAATTACCAGTACGGATATAGAACAATATTTTCTTAATTTTTGTTTGAATCAATCGAAAATTTGTATTTTAAAGACACGCAAATGCATAACAAAATGACACAAATGATTTTAATTTAGACGTTCTAAGCAATCTTTTGTACAGACATTAATGAGACAACATCAAAATGGACGACCAAAATTCAGAAAAGGAAAGAAGGAACTTATGTATGAGATGAAAGACATATTATGTACATACAAACGGGGTGAGATATGTAGATGGCAATGGACATCGGGCAGGAAACTTATCTTAATAGTTTTTATGAAAGCTTATGGTAGGTGACAGTATGCTCTGTGTGTATGGTGCATGCTGTCGGACACTGTATGAAATAGACTCAACACAAATGTGCAGACAGCAATGAAGCAAGGGAAAGGAAGTGGAGAAAATGTATTTTAATGATGAGAGCGCATTGTTTCAGATATGCACTGTTGAACAAATATGTATGTATGATATTTATTTATGTATGTATGTATATGATTTGCAATGGACACGTAGTTGTTTCCTTGTGTCGTGTGGTGTGAGTAGTGTTTGTTGTATTTTGTAGTAGTCTTCGATTTGTGTTCATACCGTATTGAAAATAAATAAATGCTTTATGTGTTGTATTGTATTGTACATTGTATGTAATGATTGCACTGATGGCTTATGAGCAAACCAGCTTATCAGCTTGTCGGAACACATCAGGCTCGCTCAGCAGAAAGCACCACCATTGCTCAAAGTCAGTTTCGTCTATGTTGGTCCCTAAGCGCAAAATGGAATCGGTGTTGGTCCGACTTGCACGCTATAAAGAGTATCTACTAATACCTATATATTTACATATGTACATGCATATACATATATGCATGTACATAATCTCACATCTTACAGCACCCAGAGCATTCATTCTTATTTAAGGCTATACAACTACAAATCTACATATGGTACAGTTTTACATTTTTTCAATGTCTAGATTCAGATTTGCATCTACTTTGCAAGAGACAAAAATTAAGTTGTGATTTGTCTTCCTTATACCTAGAACTTACAATTAACCCACAACATGTGTTCTAAAATTGAATATTAATATTCCATCTGGTGAGTTTCTCAGTGCAATGTGAAATGGGGTTCATTTACCCTTAACAAGTGGTACCTTTTGAAGGGTATGCATTTTTTTCAACCAGTTTAATAAAAACTATCTTAATTTGTTGGGAACTAATGGCAATACGGTCTATTAAGATATAAATACAAGTTTGGCACTTCAAAGTATGTTTTAGGGATATACTCCTCTAGGACAACAACCTAATTTTTGTCTCGTGTAAAGTACAAAGTGACTCGCAAAGTGAAAAATTAATTGCAAAAAAAATTAATTTGTTGAGAAATAATTGGATGACTATTAGCACAGTTTCTGATTTCTTATTGCCAGCTTTTTGGTTTTCTTATTAAATCAATTAAATCTGCAATCTGCTAAGATTATGTCGAAAAAAGAAAGCAATGATTTCTTTTCGTTTCCATCGGTGGAAAAACAATTTAGCTAATCTGAGTTATGGGTTAGAAAGTACATAAATTCAACTCTGACTTTGTTTTATCGACAATTAGGATAACTGCAACAATGGCATACACTGATACAATTGTTCCTGAATTCAGTTTTTGTACATAAACATGTATATATTGTAAAGCTGTAAGCAAGTTGGACCGAAATATTCTATATTCGATATGCATTTGGATATCTACAATATTCAATCAAATTGTATTGTTTTTCATTTCGTTGTTGCAAAGCCCTAAGGAAATAAATGCACTGCATATCCCATGATGTGAGCCACTGAACTCGTTTGACCCTAACTATGGATGGTATGTGTGAATGTTTATTCCTAACTTTTGCCGTGAGCGTCACGTTATAGGGGAGGTCGTTATTATAGATATTTTAGCATTGTACATTAAAGGCTATGACACAGATCATATAAATATTTATGTATTTCATAAATATACGTAAATATATGTACATATGTATGTATACATATTATCAAGCCTTAACATCAGTGGAAACCAGAGAGATAGCCAACACCAAACGTTTATTTGAAATATGTTTCTAGTTAGATTATTTTAGATGATAGATTTTAAAAGCAAAGCTCATAAAATCATTGATTAGAAATATTCAAGCAATGACGGGATATGACGGGACGAATTGAATGTATTTTACACGAACTGGTCTTATTCTGCTGTTAGGGCTTGATTTCTATGTTGTTGCTGGATTGTAGTGTTGGTAAGCATCAGACTAAACTGAAAAAAAGTAGTAATGAAAAATGTCAACAAGATCACCGCCGCGCCGCGTTGACGACAACGATAACATACACAAATGGCAATCCTTTGCGAAGCCTTTTTTAAATTTTGAAAAAAAAACTTATTCATTTGCATTTATTATTGGTGACTAACTAAGGAATATAAAAATGTGTATACATCGATGTAAAGTAAAACAGTGAAAAATGTACGGACTCGGGATCAGCAACACCAAAAACATAAGATGCCTAAATACTCGTTTAGTCAGCCCCCCCAGATCAGATCAGAACTGCAATTTTGTTTTGTGTAACTGTGTTATAAGTAGTCCTTAAAAAGACTAAAAAGGAGTTCATGCATGAACACGTAAGAACATTTTTAAGCTAAGAGAATTGACTGTACAGGCACTGCTTAATTAACTCCACTCCAGATCAAAAGTAAAAATTACAAAAAAATATCTACACAAGCATCTAACTGGTATAAGGTAGCACCTCTCAATTAGTGTCCCAGCTAGAACCAAAAGAAAAGCAAATTGTTGTGTACTGACTCAACGTAGTTGAGAATCATAATTTTCCTGTAAATACTGTTTTTTTTTTCGTTGTATTTAAGTTTTGAATATGTTTTTATAGATACAATGGAAAGACTGAATAGAATTTTGAAGTATTACAGTTCAGAGGATACCAAAGGCCTCAAGTCAGCAGTACGTATAGAAAAAACAAAAAACAATATCTACAATTTGTGTTTTCCCATTCTCCGATTTCTTGAACTACTCGTACTAATGAATAAGAAAAATAAACCTTACTTAACTGGGATCACTATCTAGGAGAAACTGAAATAAAAAAGTAATTTCATTCAGCTACAAATAAGTGACTGGTAACGAAGAACGAGAACCGATTACAATTGAATACATGTATGAAGATATGTATGTATGTATGTATTTATATATGTATCTACAATATGTGCATAATGTTTAACTGCTGGGGATGGTGGAGTGTGGATGCATATGACAAGTCCCACAAGTAAAACTGGTGCCTAACTCCAAAGCATTTTTGTAACTTGCCAGTCTAAGACTAATGTTGGATCACGCAGAAGCAGCATCCATAGTCGAATCAGATAGATAGAAATCGATTCGGACATTCAACGAACAGTGATACCAAAAGATACAGAGAGAATGCAGTAGTCATCTGCCGCCGATACCAGTTCCGGCATTTACGTTTATATACAAACAGAAATCATGTTTGTATGTTTGTTCACAAAGTTTGGTTGCTCCAAAGCAGGGCTCGACACTAGACACACTTGCGATCGGAAGGCGGGAGCGCTTCCTTCTGGATGTTACATATTTATCTTCATAAAACTATACCTATACCTGCACACCTACAATCCAGGCCCTTTCCTTTATCAGTATTACAGATTTTTATAGATGTATGAAAGTCACATGTGGCCATTTCTCCAAAGTGGAACAGTCGACAGATATTCATTATTTTTTCATTTTATCGTACTCTGGATTAGCAATACATTGTCACAAATTTCTGATATTGGCTGTTCAAATACTGAGTTAACTTTCAATAAATGAAGCTAACATTTTTGAGACAGAAAAAGGAATGGCGAATTGAGTGGAATACAACCCACCCTTTTCTTGAGGTAGTATTCAATCACAGAGAATGGTTTGTCAAGAAAACTTGACATGTGTATGTATATATGTACATATATCTATCATCCTACCCTGCTGAGTGGATAACGAAAATACTTGCTATAAAATATCAGATACAATATTGATAGCTTTTTAGTTCAGCTTTCAGCCTTAAACTTTAGTTGATCTAGATCTAGATCTACTAGATCGGAGCCTTGCAAATGCCTTCTAAATATTTTCTGTCCTATATTTGTGATATTTTCCATGTAAGTTCTATATATTTTATTTTGTGGGGTGTGGCTGTTTGGGAAAGTTTTATCTAGATGGTGTGTACATAGTGATGTTGATAAATAAACATACAGAATAAAAGAATAATTAGAGTTGCACATAAAGATGTTCATTAAATAATTTATGTATTGTATTTACAAGCATACACCCACATACAAAATGTATGTACGCTGTGCACCGATGTGGTAATTGTGTTAGAAGTGCTAAAATGAAGCTTAAGGTAAATAATAAATGACAATGACGCCCATGTATTTAAAGGAACGACACAGACAGAATATATCAAAATGCGAGATAAATTAAATAAATTGACTGTTTTTTTCTTTCCATATTTTAGCAAGTATTGTTTTGTACTTTTAAAAATTGTTTTCACGTTAATTTTTGTGGTTTTTTTTTTTTTTTTTTTTTTTTTTTTTTTGGTTGTAATTTGTATTTGTATTTAGAGCTGGCTTTTTCATTACTTCTTTTCAACTAACCTCAGACACAGGGAGAAGTTTCTATGTACTNTACTACAACTGACCTGTAGCACAATGCCATTAAGGTGAATGTTATAAAAACGAACCCTACAACTGACATTAGAACACCGACTAGGAACACTGTATTTGAGCCGTGGTAGTTCTCTATACGAGACATATTTAGCCGTTTGTTTCGATATGTGCGCATATGATTTACAATTTGTGTGTGTAGTTGGATTGTGGATTAGCAGACGAAAGTTGCGGATTCCGTTGAATCGACCAGCCGTAGTTTCCCACATTCATATTCATATATAATGTGGCATACAAATTATACAAGTTATTATTGAGGTTTCAGTTACGTTGTGACACGCCAGATGATTTATTTTAATTTGCCGTTGCAGAGAATTCGTCGGTTTTATTATTACAGTTGGGTGGTTGTGGGTCGGCCGAAAATAAACAAGCAAACAAACAAATTTTGTACGCATTGTGAGAAAAGGAATTTAAAAATCTATTTAGACTAGCATACCTAGGTGGGGCATAATGTACATACATAGAAATGATGTTGATCTTAATTGATTTATACGCAGAACTTTATGTAGAAAGAAGGTAATTGACATAAATAAATACATATATGTATGCACGGGAGCGCACACATAAATGTATAAATGTATGTATAAATATTTAAGAATCAAAGCACGCACTCGTAGAATCCTTCCACCCTAGCGCATTTGATTTGCCAAGAAGTTTATCCTGAAAATTAACGTATAGTGCATATAGTGCAACCAAAACAGAACTATTTTCACAATTGCACTGCAGTAAAACTCTTTTGTTTGTTTATTATGATTTTAGAATTCTGCTTTTTTGTTTCGTTTGCTTTTCTATGACAATGGTAATCTTTTTCTTCTTTTAATATAAACCTTACGGATAGAAATTTCAATACACAAATTGGAAGACTTAAATATTTGGACTTTAAGCATTTCTATCCCAGGAATTTTCTGGAACGGTATAGAAATTGTATTACATAAACCTTACAAAATAAAAAAAAAAGCATTTTTAATTACAGAATAGATAAAAACTCATATCAGCCCCTCCAGCCCCCCTAATGGGCCTAATATACTAAAAACGTTTCGTTATATTAATCAACATATTAATCAAATACTGTCTGATGACAGAATTATTTTCTCGAGAAGCAAGTTAGATTTGTTTAAGTTCAGCTAACGAATTGTAACAATATAAAAAATATATATGACCATAGAAGAATATGTTGTTTACAACACCTAAGCCAAAATGCAACCATCACTTATACACATAAAATATTATAAATTGCTTTTGCTGGAACCGGAACCGGAATTGGACCATTAACGTCAGATAACAAATGTCGAAAAAATCAAACTGGCTGTTTTATGCATGCCCACATTAACTTCATACAATTCTTAATACAAACGTTAGGATATACTGCATACTGGATACAGGTAACAAAAGCAGACAGACAGCCGTTCTATTACTCAGAGAGGAATTCAGATTGTGGCAGAGGAACCAGAGAGAGGGAGAGCTAGGTCTGTGTCTTTCTTTAAAGCTCTTCTAAAATAAAAATAAAACGTTTTGATTTTTCTCAAAGATGGGGAACAGTGCAAATAACGAAGCATATTCAATATATTATTAAAGCTTATATTTACATAATAAAGTTGGAGTAGGCCTGCAACAAAATGACTGCCGTGGCCTGCTTAAAACCTTAGCTATAGACAAACCTTAAACTAACAAAAGCTAATTTCTTAAGCAGAGGTTCTTATATTTTGCAGTAAAAGTCGAAAGAAAAGGAACGTTGTGAGATGCGTTCGAACGCTCCACAACTTTTATACCCTTTACATTTTACATCTACGTCTACATCACTTCTGAAACCAACACAGTTTGAAGACTTAAGCCAGACAATTTTACTTTTCGACTTTGTGTAAGTTTTTGCATTAAAAACTTAATAATTCCCAGACTTTAGGCTAAAACTACTAAAAACTTCGGTTACATTTATAGCTGCATCTTTTAGCTCTTCAGAATCGTTTTTTAAAAAGTTGGAAAATACTCAAGTTATATGCAGCCACTGCCTCTACCTCTGAAAAAAGCTAGTCCCTACGTGCCACGCCTTACGCCCCACCAAAAGACGAAGATGTCACAGATATCAATACAATCAACAATGTGAAAACCAAAAACACAGTTCCGTAGAGAATGTCAATATCTATCACGATCTAAAACGTGATCCAAAAGGTTGTGTTGGTGTGAGAAGTGATGTAGATGTAGATGACAGATGTAGATAAAATATAAAATGTTCAATCTAAAAAATCATAAGGGTTTATACAATGTATATTATACATACTAGCAAACCCACGGCAGCTTTAAAAGCTTTTTGCTATTCAATTCCTTTGTTTTCGAGGATATCTGACCTAAAACTGGGCGAATTAAAGAATCCGCCTTCTTGTAAGTCTATGACAGTCAGGGTGACATCATTTCAAGGATCACAATTGCGGATAAATATGCTAAAAATGACCGGGTATCTCGACAGGCGAGATCTAATTTCCCTTTACATGAGCCAAGTTAGTATTCATTCATTCATGGCTTATTATGGCGAAAGGCCAACTATAGAAATAAGTCTGGACCCAGTTAGTTTTGTGTCTAGAAAGGCTAGAAGATACACTAATGGAACCATTCCCATAAAATGCTGAGAGTCTTACGGAATATGTACGTTCTTTTCAGTCTAAATTAGATATACCATACAGCCATGTTCATGATTCTTTGCTGCATATGCTTATTTTCATGCATTTGTACATTCACATGTATTCCCCGATGATGAAATCCAAAATAAAAATATTCAAAACAAAAAACGTAACTAATAAAAAGAAAACTCACATCAAGTTTAGAGGCGTGTGATTACGACAATATGATACAAGGCATGTACACAAATACACATAAATACTTTTATAATATAATGATTTAGGGCATGTACATACACATAAGTAGTTTTTAAATGTAATTATGTAAGCACAACAAATATTTTACACAGCGATAAAGGCAAAGGGGACAATGAAAGAGAAAGAAACCAGAGTAACCTTTTGGTAGACGTACACGGTTCAAATAAAGTATTTAATAAATAACTTAAGCACTGAATTTGTTCTAATGTACATATGTGGCAAGCTCTTGCCTTAACCATGGTTTTACTTTGTTTTTGTTTGGTTCATATGCATTTTCCTTTGTGTATAGTGGGACAAATTTGTGTGTGTGTTTGACTTTCTGGTACTCTACCTGTAGCAAACGGCCAGTGTTGCAAAACTAATGAAGACACATTTGACGATAACTGTTAAAATGATGACCATGGTTAATGTGCTGATCCTATTTTGGTCTGAGGTGCCTGCAAATGGGGTTGCGTTTTATTTGCAAATGAAATTAAATTTGTTAATATGCAGACATTTTGTGAGTCCCAATTAAGAATTAGATTGCCCATAAAATAGGATTCGAAATGTTTTGATATCCATTTAACTTTTGAATGCAGTATACACATATACGTATTGCTAGTCGAGTAATCCGACACTATCGGGATGATACAGATTGCCAAACCAACCAAATTTCAACTGAGTTGAAGTTCCAACATTTCACAGTAGGCTTTCCCTAGGAGTACTCATGGCAAGGACCTTGGAAATGTTTATTTAATTGCAATTTTTAGACAATAATGACTTCAGCCTACAATGCAGCTTTTATTCTATGCGATTCTAAGGTTTAATTCAAGCTCAAGCTATCTAGATCCCACTTTTGACAATACTTATCGGAGAAGTTTTGTAATAATGCACATCAATTTGTCCTTAAAAGGTATATATATATATATATTGCTAGCCCGACTTTGGTCTAAGTCAGTTAGATGCAGTGAATCGGTGAGCATCGTAAATCGGAAGGTAAAAAAATTCTTTAAAACAAATTGAATGCAGTGGGTAGCAAACGGGAGTTCAAACTATGAAATATTGGAAACAATACGCCCTTATCAACTGGAAACAATTATTCATTGCGTGCCTGCATACACAAGCCTCTGTGAAAAAAAACAAATTGTTGATATCGGAATTACGGTGCAATTTATCGTCAAAATCGATCTAAAACTTAATGTTCCTTAAACTAACTAAATATTAGAATTTGACCATTACATTATAATTGATGTTTAAGGGTCTGTTGAATTAGTGGAAATAAAATAAAAGTTCGAGCGGGTTCGATATAAAATATGTATGTTTGTACAGTTTTTTAATTTGTGAGCGAAATATATTGGTTTGGGTATGACGATAAGTTAAGAGTGATTGCGACAGTATTGGGGAGCAAGACCGATGCAATGAATGTGATTTGAGGCTCAGTTCAATTGTAGTCGGACCAAACAGCCCGTGCTTATTGGCGGTAGTTCTTGGCTTCGTAACGAAATTTAAGAGATATTAAAGTGTAGAAAACAATTATATAAATTTAATTTGTATTTTTATTGTAAAAATCCGATGTAACTAATTTTGCATTTGCATTCTATTTATGTACATGTACATATTTTTCCTAACATAACCCGACATGATTTATTCTCAAGGATCCAAACCAACTTTTTGTCTCATGATATTTTTTTTTCGAACAAAATATTTTTTTTAGAATATTTATAAGCTCGTGGTTCTCGAAACCTTTTTTTCAGAGGAAGCAGTTCTTAATTTCATATAAATTAACTTTGCCATTCTGAAAAGCTAATTGATGCACCTAGTTCTTGGGTCCATTTTATGGTCCAATTTGGGCAGCTACCCTCCAAACGGTATTTATTTTTCTAGCTCAGCCTTTTCTCCATAGAATTTAGTAAACAATACTTGAAAAGACGCCTAATTAATGCACATACATATGTATACACAAAAAATGTAAGGACACAACATGTCATTTATTCGACTAATCGACTATTTTGTTCGAAACTTTAAAGAGCTTTTGAATACTTTATTCATCATCTTTTTAGTATGGCAAAGTTCCTTACATCCAAATTGAAGATTCGTAAGCTCTGCCAGAGCAAACAAAAATGATCATACAGCATGTTTAAATCCCAAATATTGCCACAAAAAAGTTGATTTGGTTCGAAACGAAAAAATGGTGTCAGGTAGTGTAGTGGGAGAATGGACGGCATCAATATATTGGATAATGCCACATTAAATATCGTATCAGAGTGTGTTGTTGTTTACAAGAGAGATGGAAGCCGCTTTAGTTAACTCATGGAAGCTCTACTGTGTTCTGGCCAATCCTACAAGCACTACCCAATTAAAAGATAAATGATGGCGCAAAAGAACCGGAGTACTCCAAAAAATTAAGTACGAATCCACAACTTGAATTTCGTAATTTTTTGACAATGTACTTTTTGCGGCATGCAAGTCCGGAGATACCAAAGATCTCACATGCACAAAATTTAAGTTCGGAAACAGCACTGACAAATATGAAAACAAACTTTCTTGTTACAACATAAGAAGCGGAGGTGTAAAAACTTCACAAAGCTGACTTTATTCCTAATGAAAAACCGAATGAAAATAAACAAAGATAGGAATTCCTCGCTAATTTATGTTTATATTTGCATGTGCTGCAATGTGGCGTTTTAGCGATAAAAAAAAACCGTATCAAACCGCTTTTCAGAGGGGCAATTACCCAGTTATGTAAAAAGGTTTAAAATGCTTAGAAACCATTAAGAATTCACATTATTTTTAATGCTCATCATCATTTTTAGAGCCCCAAGCTTGTCAAAAATTTGGTTTGGTTCGGAGCAGACGAATGGTGTTGAGTTGTGTAATTAATTGAGCTCTCCACGCTCCAAATTCGTGCGACGAACCGGTACTTATAAAGATTAATGACAATTATGTAAAAGATATAGTCGAACTACCACCGATTTAATTGTTTTTAAACAAACTTAAGTGCAAGTTAAATGACATTCTCCCAAACCCAAAATCATGGGAAAAATGTGGAAAGTTAAACGAAAAGAGTAATTAATGAAATGAGGTTTACGGATCTCAGAACATTTGCATATTTATTAATAAGAGAAAAAGACTTAATATTGGTTTGGTTTCAAAAATCTTGTTATCTGGCTTCAATTTCTTTGCTGTTATAGGGACTATGGGTGGACGCTTGATTGGATCCCTTTTGGATCTAAATAATATTATCGCTGTTCATAGAGTTGCTTATAGAGAAAGCTTAGAGCATTAATCGGCATGATTACCATTGTCATACAAGTAATCAAACCGAATTTTATCATTTTCATTTCGAATTTGAATCGAATTAATTGTCATTTGTCACTGTGATTGAACCAGGGCATCGCAAGAGTGACTTGGTTTGGCTACACTACATTTGCTTTGTATCGACGGATATCTTAGACTAGTTTTGTGAGTACTGTTCGCATTGGATTGGATAAATATGATCAAGATATCTTAGTTAGTAAATGTCTCTCCCAGCTGGTGCAAGGTAAAGCAAATACGATGCTGAAAAATGTCGTTGACCTCGACGCCCCTCTCTTACCATATGGGGTTTCTTTCTTTTCCATTTTTATTGTATTCTCCGGTGTGGGCAATGCTTCGGTTGGCAGTGCTGTGGTAAGGAGAACGACAGAGCTGCAGTCTGTGCCACCCCAACCCATGTCGCAGAAGCAGCGATTTGTGTTAGTGCAGACCTGCAAGAACAAATGAAGAGTGCGGTCGTGAAATTCGCTTGCATTCAGAGCACATGTGGAAGACCCATTAATGTGTGTGGGTGCATACATATATGAGAGTGGGCGCTCTTTTTTTGTTGGTTAAACTTACGCCGTGTTCTGAGCACTCTTGACCCTGTTTATTTGTTGGGCACTTGGTTTGATCCACATGGGGAAAGAGACTGACACATGTTTGGTTTAGGCAAATTAAGTTGTCACCGCACGGTGTACCATCTTTGACTAGACCATGTTCAGGGTAGCTGTTGGAGCCTACTTGTCCGCTGGTTGCTCTGCAAAAAAACGAAAATAACGTAAAAGGATTTTGCTCCATCAATACCTGACATCCGCCTGGTCACTTTATCTGCTACGCACTTGCACTCGTACTCCAGTCCCTTGATCGATATAATAGTGCGGGAATAGAGTTGGTCGATGCCTTCGTTAACTGGTTGTCTTTCACCTTCTTTACATTGTAGAGTGCCGCACTGGACATTCCTGTCACGCAAAAAATAAATGTTAGCATTGCACAATTAGCAAACAAGTTTAAAATCATTGCATAGGCGGATTCTCCAAACCCGGAAAATCTTTCTTTAGTCTTTCGCTATTTTGTTTAGAAATTTAGAAATTTATGTTTATAAAAAAGACACTGAATCTGCTCTCAAACTTGTTAAAGTTTGGGAAACATTATGATTTAAATCTGTATACCGATGGCTTAACTAGTCAACAGACAAATAACACTCGAACGAATGGAAATTGTGTGTGTTTAAATTCGTCTTATTTTGATCTTTATATTACTTGCAATGCGACTGTCAGAGAAATTTCCATGTCCCTAAACAGACTAACGCAATTTTTCATACATAAAGAAGATAGAGATAGGCATACTAAGGGTCACAAATCAAACATAGTAATAACAAATATAATAAAATAAAGAGAACTCGATTACCGGCATGATGGCATCAAAAGTTATGGGTGATAGAATTCGCATCGATGGCGATCATTGATAACTTACTCTGGATCACACTTAATGTAATGTTCATTCGCATCACGGCCACAATGGCCATTGATTGAGCCCTTAGAATTAAATTGTTCGTAGCACTGGCGATCTGCGGCGGATCCCCCATATCCCCAAATTGCTTCACATTGCAAGCTTAGTGTAGGGCAGTAGCCCTGAAAACAGTAGCCTGAAAAATACAAATGTGGTTTCCAAATTTAGTTTTCAATGATTTAAAATTCTAGAATGCCAAAATGTACGCACCGGAGACGCCTGTTTTGGTGAGACCACACGGAGAGCCATTTTTCTTGTAGACATCAGAAGGACATTGACCGACTTCACCATCGCAGTATTCTGGAAGATCACACTCATTGTTTGAGTCTCTGCAAATGTAGTCCTTGGGCCGTAGCTGAAAACATTTAATGCAATTACATATAAGCAATCAGAATTAGCGGAGAAACATTATGTATGTGGTACATACGCGGCATTGTTCGCAGCAAGCGCCGCTGGCGCATTGTGCCTCAGATTTTAGCTTGCATGTTATTCCGTCGCAGCACGGATCCAGAGCACATTCTTCAAAGGTACCACAATCGCATTCTTCATCCTCTTCGACTATTTTGTTACCGCAGTTTCGACGCAATTCGATCTATTAAATGATAAATATATTCGGTTCTAGATACTCCCAATCATTTTAGTGAGTTAAAGTGCCTTTTCCGCTTACCTCATTTGGCTTGTTGAGCAAACACAGTCCGTGTCCCGTCCGTAATGCATCAATGTAATCTTTTTTACTGCACTCCGAAAATTTATACGGTTGGACATTCTCCTGTCCGACGATCGACTGCGCCATTATGCAGCCATGCCAGTCACGGCAAAAGCATTCCTCACCTTGAGCGAAACAATACAAATATTTGTTTTAATTGTACAAAATGAGAGAGCGACTCTGCTTACGTCCGTCGTCGTGTCCCATGCCGATATTATGGCCAATCATGTGAGCCATGGTGCCAGCAAGAAGGTGTGGCTCATATACGTTGACATCGACGCTGATGCCCACAGCCCTCGGTGTGCAAACAGTTTCAGGAACAGCCATCCCAGCCTCCCCGCCCGAAAACGTTTCACCACTAAGGAATGGAAATGAATTAATATAAGTTCCTACTACTACTATATTCAATATATCGCTTACGTTAGTAACTGAGTGGTGTCTCTCTCGACTTGGAACAAATTTCTTGATGTGTAATCATTAAAGTTGGATATTGCCTTGCCAATGTCCTTGCTTCCATCGATGACAGCCTGGTTTTTTCCCCATGTCTCAATGTAAACCACCGACACCCGAGTATTCAGTGTGCGGAAATACTGTTAATTTTGAAATTAGATTATTCGGATGATCGATTAAAACGGAGTAAAACTACTTACCAGATCAGCTATATTGGCAACCTGTATTGCGTCGTGAATAACCTCAGCCCGCGTGCTGCCGTTGCGCTTGTCAAACATTGCCTTGTCAACGATAATTGCTGTTTCAATGTATTTGGTGGCCTCCCGCACATCCCGCTTACTGCGCACTGCGTGGTTCTGCAGAATCTCATCCACCACATCCGCAACGCCCACCGACAAGTGTTTGGTGCGACGAGACAACCTCCATGAGTCGAGGTTACCTGAATTGGCGCATCCCTTGTTTGCTTTCGTACGCGCTTCGAAAATGACATGCGGATGTTTCTGCCAGTTCACGAATGGGTGATCAAAAGACAAAGGTTCAAGTTTACAGCCATAATTACAAATTCAGTTACAAATACGCTCCATTTTGGAGTTTTTATGCATAATTCTGTGGTTTGGTGCCTTACTTACAGATAGATCGCCACCATAAAACGGATGAATGACGAAGGTTTCGTTTCCAATGTGTATGACGCCGCTTACTCCGTTGCAAGTATGAAAGGCAGCGCTAGCACCCGGATAGTCCTTCACTGTCCCGTGGTAATAGCAATGTTCAATATCCTGAAGAAGAAAAAACAAAAGCATTCATTTAACTTATTATGAATATTATGCAATAAAAATATAAATGAAAGACATTTTCCATTGAGTTCATTTGTAAAACGCTTTAAAGCTTCGCCACAAAATATAGACACCTGTTTTAGACTATGTTTTTGGACTGTTTTTGGATGTATGTACTAAATGTACCAAATGTTCTCACATGCCGAACACTGCATCCATAAAGTATGGTAGTTCCACTGAACTGAGTCATGAGATTCGAATTTTAACTCACATGCCGGTTTCCGTCGACAAGATATCCTCCAACGTGGTAGTGCTTTTGTTGTATATTTGGTGAAAGAAGTTGTCTGTAAAAAATATGCAAACAGTTCCAATAAGTAAGACCTTCTTTAAAAAAAACTCTTAAATTGGTAAATATGCCACATAAGAGGTGATGGTAACTTACGAGTTAAGCTCTAGGTCCAGGCGAAATTTATGATTAAAGGCCTTAATAAGAAGCGAAGTGCGATGGAAATGTTTCTGCAAGTTTAAAGAAATTTATACATTAATAAAACAACACGATACAATTGTTCACTCATTAAATCAAACAAAACCAACTAAGTTTTTAATATTTATTAATGTCACTCAATTTGATTCAGTGTTATATTATGAGTCCTAACACTAAATTTGGTTACTCTAGCTCTTAGAGTTTAAAAGAGCCAGGAGTCAAACGAGACAGGCAGACGAACGGACAGACAGACATGGCTATAACGGATTCGGCCTTAGATGCTATTTTGATGATGCTGTCACTAATCTAATACATCCCTTTTGCTCTCCGAGTATCCGCAAAGTATTTAAAACTCGACAAAAAATATTAGGTCCCATATGTACTGAGTAGTTACGTGGCTTTAGACGCGCCTCACAGTGTTTCCACATGCAAACAATTTTGCGCCATAGTGATATTAAATAGAACGAATTTACCTTTGTTCTGCCTCTGTTGAATCCACTGTCATCATGCTGACGAGGACGTTGCCCCGGCTGAAAAAATGAAAACTGTGATTAAAATATGAATGAAGATGAGAATCGGTTTCGTAGGCGATGTCAAAACAGTTGAGTTGCACCACATCCAGTGCAGAAGCTCAGCACAAAAAAAAAAAGTGTGAATCTCTTATTCACCTTCTTCTTTAAACTGATATATTACTTTAAATCGTGAAAGCGACTCGACATATAATGAAGGAGTTCCATGGAATATATTTGAAACCATTCCTTTTGGGAAACTGTTTTACAAATTCCGACTGGGGTATCCGTGCTGGATCGCTGCGTTCTTCGCTTATTTCTGAGGCTACATTTCGATCTCAACAAAGCTCACTCGAAGAGTTGAAGGCGTGTACTAGATTTATGCTCGAAGTGGATGCATGTAACGTACAGAAGGAAACGTTTCCGACTCCATACAAGATACATATTTATTCTTGATCAGTAGGTGATCAAAAGGTGAGTCCATATAGCTTTGTCTGGCTGTTCGGCTGTTAGCTCGCAAAGATCCCACATAGAGCGGCTCAGAATCTGAGTACAGAGCTGGGAACTCCGTCAGGGCTAGGTGAATACACCGAAAAATGACGAACCGCACTCGAAAATTGAGTTCGAAAGTATAATAAATAAAATACATATAAGACATAATTACTTTTATAATATTTCGCTTATGATGATTGCGTACCTTTGAGGGACTGACTTCACGTGTTGATATTCCCATCTTCTCGTGATGGCGCAGCTGAACAGGATATATTATTTGGTAGTAATGTCCACCGATGCGACGAACCAACTCTTGATTTTGCCTGTATTCCTTAAGTAACCGTTCCACTTCACCTACAAAATAATAAATAAAGTGGTAAGATGATGCTCAAAATGTTTCCTTAAGCTTTCATTAAATAACAAATCGAACACGAACAATGTATATTGATGAGTAGTTCTATAGTTTTAATCTGAGTAACGTCGATACAAACTTACCAACGGGACTTTCTTCATTCCAAAAAGAATCGTCTAGAGTATAATCTGCCTCTGTAAAAAAATATGAATACAAGTTGTCAAAATTGCATTTTCTGTTTTGTTTTCGGTGTTTAAAGGAAATAGATGACTGGGATCCTTTATCCTAGGAAAAATCCTACTGCATTAATGTGGAAACAGCGTGGAACTTATTAGAAAAGTCCGTGGGTCAGTTGGAGAGTGTTCCCCTCCTCGATTCATGCATGGTCAGTATGCCGATTCTTGGCCTAATCACAGTTGGTTCGTCAATTTCGGGAAGTGGAGCACATTTTTGAGTTGATCGCTGGGGCAACAAGGAAGGCGCTGAACTGAGAGGAACACTACGTCAACTTTATTTTACTCGCTTGCCCCTCAGGGAAATATTCTGCTTGCTCTTGTGGAGGGACTCTCTGGACGTAGACATACAGGTACAACTATGGTGCGAAGTGTGCATCGTTTTTAGCTATTCGAAGTATGCATCAACAAGCCATGAATGAATCTTTTTCGAACCCATCGGTTTCGGACACCATTTAAAAGGACTTCTACGTGGACGACATGGTAGCTGGATTCGATTCCGAAAAGGAAGTGCTGGAGATTACATGTGCGTCAAACCAAGGAACCAAGGAGGATCAAAGATATAATGGAAGACTTGGCACAAGATGTAAATGCATTCCCTGTTCATCTTCTGTCATGGCATTGTGTGTTACTCATTCTATATGTTTATTTGCTGGATGCAGAACCATAGGGTTTCAGAATCCAAACGCTTTGCCGAATTTTATTTGCAACGGTAAAGCGTAGGAATTCTAAAACACTACAATATGCGCGTTGTCTATATATTTTTGTACATATACTTCTTAGGCATCGTCTCACAACCTTCCTAGATATACATAAGTACCGCTTTGAGTTTCGATATGAATTGATTGTTATAGCTACAATGATGGGCAATCCAACGGCAGGTTGCATTCTCTTCTTTTAGTGTAAACATTTGTAGGAAAAGTAAAGAAAGTGGAGCTACTTACCGCCAGCGGATGTGGCCAAGGCGCACAGCTGGGCAATGATGAGGATCAAGTAGGTGATGGTTATCCACATTATGCAGCTTCAATATTGTGTTCTAATTAGTGGGCGTCGACGTCAACGTCTGTGTTAGCGTCAATGCTAAGTCTTGGTCGTCCTCTCCTCGTTTTGTTTAAGGTTATTCTCCTTGATTCTCTTTTTATTCTCGCTCTCGAGGATATTTACCAAAAGGTACTCTCACGCATCCAAACTTTAATTGGTACATTTGAAACAATCAAAAATTAATTATGCATCTTAATAGCTCAAGTATGCTTTTGTTGCGGTAGTTGCACTTTGGATAACAATCTACTGCTCCTATTGGCACATTGGTGACACTCAACTCTACGTTTTTTCTGTAGGTCAGGTTGTGTGGCAGTGGATGGCTATGGCTGTGATGAAGATTTGATTTCCGTTTTTAGCAGAGACTGTGTCTAGGCTCTTGTATGCATAAGGGTACAGCTGAAATTGTAGCTTCATTGCGCTGAGCTGAGCTGAGCTGAGCAAGGCACTCTTTAGTTTCCTCACCGTAGCTATTGCATTTACTCACTCACTGGTTCGATTCACTCATTCAATCAAGCTCTTTCTTGGCCTCCGATTCAGCTCTGATCTGTATCTGTATCTGTATAAATAATGTCCAACCCGGTACAATCACAGTGATATTATTATCACTTTTACTTATACAAATTTATAACGCTCAATTTGGGAAAGTTTACCCGACATAAGTGTTTGAGTTAAGTTGCATGAAAATCTGTATCTGAATTTGATGTTTTCAATTTCCTAGAAACGACCTGAAACAAAACAAATAAGATAAGAAGCAACATTATAATGTGAAAAATAAATAAGAGAATAATTTCTAAAATTTCAAAATGATCTGGTCTGTTTTTTGTTCTTACAGCTATAATTATTCTTTGAGGAGCACTTACGAAGGAAACAAAGAAGCAAGAGTCCATAAATATTTATATACTCGTATTTGTATATCTATAGAAAGCCGTTGCAAGAGCACAAGTGATGCGGCGCTAGTCAGATGTTCAGATGGAACTCTGTACACCGACAGTATGCAGCGGCGTCACTGATGCCAGCGCTGACAATGTCAATTTGCGCAAATTAATCAAGGACATGAATTAGGCGTAGCACAGCGGCGCACAGTGGTGTGATTACTCAACAAAAAGCGTTGAAAAACGACTAGCAAATTAAACTCGGATAGGTACACTGCTCAAACAATACGTTTTAGCTCAACAGTTTACCGACAGCTATTCGTATTTATAAGCGAAATCATAAGCGACGTTTACGAGTATAAAGTCCACCTATAAAAAGAAGATGTCAACACTTGCTATGTTGCACGACCTTGGCTAGCCTTAGTTTGAATCTCGATAGCGAAAATGTTACAAAATTACCGCTGAAATTTTTAGTCGAAATTGCTCTAAATTGATTTTATTGAATTTTGAAGTGCCACAAAAGTTGTGCCGAATTTTGATATGATTTTTTGGGAAACCAGCCACTGTGCGGTGGCAGCGAAATTGTCAAAAGAGATCAAATTAATGGACTAGACCGTTTATATAATTAATATTCATTTATGAGGCTTGCAATGAAGCGGATTGGCCGATGACTGGCTGTACATGCAGGTCTAGGGGGACTTCCACCACGTACCCGTGCGGTAAATGGGTATGCCCTCTTATAGTTTCTGTGTGCAACATGTTTAACATATTTAATTTTTATCCAGTTTGGCCAGTCATTAATTCGTGAAGAAGATGGGCTCAGTGCATATATATTCACATACAGACAGACCATAAACTTATGTCATAGGTAAAGATTATATGTCTGTGTTTGTTTAGACTCTATACTACTCCTCTCTTTACTATGGAGAGGATGCAGGTGCTTTCTTCTGTGTACTTAAATACACTCTAAGCTCTGGCACATTTTGGTACCCATTACTCGTGTTTCATTCCAAGAAATATATTCAAAAACTTTTCGAGATTAATGTTAACTAGTAAGTTCAAATGTTCGTATTCGGTAAACAATTGTCACTGTTATATTTTTAGCTGGAAATATGAAGAAGCAATTCCGCAAACATCTATAATAATATTTGATATTTAGATATTTCGATTTTGGCCATAAGTTCTTCGAACGCAGTCACCATACACCAGACATTGTGAAGGGCTGAAAAGATATCGAGGTGCAGATAATCCATAATCTGCTGCTTCAACGATGTGCGACCACTAAAACCAGAAGCCGTTCCTTCTGCAGTCAGGACTCTGCTGGCAGCTAACTTGCTGCTCGAGACCTGCACAGTTATGTTGTGCTTCTGACTACAGGCTGTTGTTCACATTAAAAATTGGCCTGGCGTTTTACTTCCTTGTCGTACTATCCTAGATTCTGGATACCAATTGCATCTACGCCTTTCTCAACTCACACAGCTAGAAAGAATTGGGAAATCGAGAAATGTTTGCATGCTGGTTTAAGTACGAAGGAGATTGTGAGTACTGTGTTCGACTGCCATTAAAGCATAGTGCTGATCGCCTCTGATGGCAAGCTCACCGAAATTTCACAAATTAAATCAAATCCCTATTGGATTGGTGATTGGGAAACACTAGCAGCGAAAAATTAAGACAGAATGAAGAAGTAATTTTGCAATTACCTCTTCCTGCGCTTAAGAGGCGCTGTCAAGAAGAAATATGCAGATGACTGATGTGGCTAACCACTGCAAACAGAAAAAAGATTTCAAAGTTGGGACTGAGCGACGCGTCTTACAAAGTTACCCCTGCGTAATTTTGTTTCCAACTTAGCAAATGAAAGCATTCTGCGAAGAGTGTCTAGAAAACTGTTCAGAAAACATGCCTTGATTGTAGAATATGGTCAAGAATTTAAAATCATTGCAAAATTGTAAACTGAATTACTTGCTATATATGTACATGCATACATATATGTACATACATATGTACATAAACTACCGGCCTAGCGCTGGATGATGGATGGGCTGGGCTTGAAAACGGCTGTTCACGAGGGACCTCTGACAACGAAGAACACTTTAGTGGTGAATTCGGGCGTTAAACTTCTCAATAAACAAAGATATTTTAACAAGTATTGCTAACCTGCTCACTGCGTTTGGAGCAGTTTGGGGAGTGATTCAACCTCTGCCAAAAACGCCCATTTGAAATGGAATTATCTACCTTGGGCAGCCCTTTTTTGAGCGTTTTTCTGCAAGCGCATGTTTATTTGATTCATCGGCTTTTGCCACGTCTTTTTGGCGGAGGCCCCACAGTGCGACTATGGGAATGCAGTGCGAGCCCGAAAAGAGAGCAAATACGGCAGATTTACTTTTTAAAGAGGAATAGGGGGATGAACGTGTACATAGCTGTACATTCTCTACGCTCTTGACGGCGCAGTTTCAAAAAATGAAGCTGGGTGCCACAGCGAAAACCAAAGCGTAAGTGGTTATATATACTGGATGCGTCGACGTCAGCGCCAACGCCAACACTGACGCATGCTCAGACTTGGGACACTTGTGGAAAAAGTGACTAGAGCATTTATAACTACAGCGGTGAGCAAAATGAAATGCAGAGCTCGAAACTCGGAAGACAATCGATCCGAGACAATTAATACAATCGAATCTCTCTCGAGAAACCTTGTCCAGCACTTGCATGAAAACCCAAAGTTCGTTACAGAATCTATTCATATGTATCGCACTTGTCCCGTGGTCATGCGCAGCTTGCCTCGCCTCGTTCTGTCGTTGCGGGTCACCCATAAGTTGACAAGACTGTGTGATAGCCAAGTAAGTCTACATATCTACATACATACATATATGTATGTAACCGACTATGTATGCTCCACTACATGTATGTGCATATGTATATATGCATTCATTTGGATGTATGAAAAGAAGAAAAAAACATACATCTACATAGATATGCAGATATAATGGATTACATTTCGATTCATATTCGCATAAATATTGTACACATAATTCATCTTTATGCATTCATACATATATACATATGTATTTGAAACCGTTCAACTATGAAACAGTGTCTCCATTTCTGTTTGTTGACCGTAGGCGTCAGCGACAAGCGACATTTGTATGTATGTGTTTTGCACATGTGTATGTACGTAAGTATGTACAGACAAATGTATACCTTTGGCATGGCCATGTGTATTGGAATTTTATAAAAACACTTTTTTCACTGTGAACATGCAAATGTACATCTACATACATACATATGTACATATGTATGCAGAGAGTTGGTTGGGTTGTGTATGGGAATTTGTGTATTTGGATAGTTATTTTACTTACATTTGCATAGGCAGCTTAGGTTCCTCAATTCTCTCAGTATTTATTCCGAGCTAGATTCTAATTGATAATGAATTATTCTAATTTAGTATTTGCAAAATTTTGCTGAACTTCTTCATGAACACACTCTGTTTCTTATTTGGGCAAACAGTGAAAAAATATTCAAAAAATTCTCCAAAATATGATATTATTCGCTTTTGTTTACTTTTTTATTTATTTGATTATGTTGAATACAAAATTTAATAGCCGATTGCTGGTCGCTTATTCGGTTGATCGAATTTTTGATGGCGAATTTGTAAGGGCGAGGAAAGACTTATACACCGTATTTCATTTCACATAATGTCTTCCAGATAACCGTTGGCAGAGCAGCATTTACGTAAATAACGTGTAATTTTCTTTTTTGCGAAGTCATTCAAATTTATTTTGCTGCGTTGCTTTTACATTCCCCTTTTTTTCGTACTCCGACTTTGAATCCAGTTAAAATTTTTTCAGCGTCTCCAATTGAGGAATTTCTTGATTTGTGCTTCTAACTGTATTATTTGTTATCCCTCTTGCGGTTGCTTTTGCCGTCAGTCGGCCCCGGTCTCGTTACCACGTTCCGTGATGGCAAACAACGTTCTTAAACTCTCGCATACGTCTGACGACTTGCGATTGTTAACGACAGTTCCATCCTAGCTGCAGGACGCAGACGCAGAAAGAGAGGAACCGATGCAGGCATCGTTGTTAATATTGCTCTTTAGTTTTTGGCGAGAGTCTGAAACGTCACCTCAGCACTCTCGCGCATTCGGCCTCAGGACACAGCCCAAAAAGATTCCCTCCTAATATTATCTCACTTAACGCCCACCGAACACATTGAAAATCCGTCACTTTTCCTAGCCACACCGCCAGCGTTTCGTTTCCTATTTTAAAATCAGTTTTCCATCCAATCTACAGAGTCCAGCCAGTCCAAGAAAAATCTGTTTTGGTTTCAGAACAATGCAATTTGAAATGTATGGATGTATAAATACTCTTGGCGCTGCCCTTAAGAGCACATATGTATGTGCTGTTTTTTTTCTCTAAAGGGTATTATGATCTCGACCAGAAATTTAAGACGAAGAGATGAAACCAATTCGTGGTACTATACACATTCATACTTACATATTTACATGCGAATGTGCATACATATGTATGTGACCTCTCCTCTGAGTAAAGTGTGTTATCGACCAAAATCACCTTTCGAAAAAAACAGTGATTAAAGTTTTGCATTGCAGAACCCTTCATTGGCCGTTAACAATTTTCGTGATTATATGTATAATCGTCCGAGTACCGCTTTAATTATTATAAACAAACTTTGTTGTAAAATGCAAAGGAGGAAACTTCAAGCGAACTCCAAATTTACCAAACTCAAATTCTCAAATCGCTTTCCAAAGGGATTCTTGCAGAACATTTGGCATTCAGAAGAAGTGTCTTTAAAACAGGGCCTAGTCAGACATTTTCGGCGTTTAAAAATCGTTGATCACTCCATTATTTTTAGATAGTTGGGAACAAAAAGATCATATTCAATTTGGGGACCTTCGATATTTTGAGTGCTCAACAACTCTGTTGGGTAGGGCGACGTGTGAAAGCTCGAATTGTGGTATTAAAGAGCAATCCTTATTGTGAATCCGGTCAAAAAATAGTTACTTAACACTTGGAATTCATCATTCTACCTTTCTCTATTTCAAAAATGTTGAGATTTAACTAGTTTTTGTTCCGCAGCTTCCGACAAAACAGGCGACCAGTTGATTTGAAATTCGTTGCAAAACAAATTTGTGGCATTTGGCTCGCTTTAAAACACCCATGCCTTCGATTTTCGTGCACATTTTTATTCATACAGATGATATGATACCTACATGTATATGTACATGCCTATAGACAGAATAAAGAAATTCATTTGCACCTAATTTGGACACCTCATTCTTATTCTCACTATCGCTCGCACACTCTTCCTCGTGCAGAGTGCGTCCTCTGGCGGAGAAGAAAGAACTAGCCAACAAGATTTTAAGTGACGAATTAAAGCGCGTCTCAGTATGTGCCCTCTCGTTATAACTTCATTCGTGTAAGCATTAATGGAAACTCGTTAGGATATATATACACTGCCCTCTTACTTACAAGATTGACCGGTTATAGTAGGTATTACATCCGTTAATATTTATTTCGCTGATACACTTTAGACTGATCAGGTTGTTCGGATATAAAACATTTAACCGTACGCTATGACAATTATACATTAATCTAATACGTAGGTATAATGTATAAGAAGGCTCAAAAATCGTTTATTTTATATCACTCAGTCTGTACTTAATCTGAGCTATGACCGCGTGAGTAACTTCTGTATTCAGCGCATACAAATATTTACTTTACTCAATTAATTATAATATTATTGCTATAATGTTTTTGGGAATGTTTGCCATTGGTAGGCTATGGTATGTATATGCATGAAGGTATGGATGTAAATAATATCTACATTTAAAAATTCAGATCTTGAGTGCCTTATCTATGCCGCGACTGTATGCATGTGAAGTGAACAAAATGAAGACTATAAATTAATTTTGGGATATGGTGTTATTTTGCAATGTTTTTAATCGGTTAAGAAAACTTGGTTGATTTTTGGATAGTTTTATCAGCTCCACACTGAATGCTTCATACGATTTGGGTACATAGCTAAATTTGTGTTCCGTTTAATATCGTTGAGATTTGTGTTCGTACATTAGTCCATTTTATGCCACTTTTCCTATTCCGATGGAGTTAGATCGCGTTCCAGCTCATTTTCGTTAAGGATTTGCGAAAGCAATTCGTAAAGCGGCTCGAGAATTTTTTTGGCTCCGGTATTCGTAAGGTTCTTATAGTCAAACATATCGTGGTGACTTATGGTACCGTCACCCTGTACCAAACCCTTGTCGATGGCAACTGTCTGTACGCGATCCATGCCCTTAGTCATCTCTTTAACCAATTCGTTAATTTTGGCATTTTTGTCGCGAAGTTTATTAGGTTGTTGACCTCTTGGGAGCAGAGACTGCATGTAAGTAATGGGTATTATGGTCATTTATATTTCATATGGATGGAACGGCAGGAGACTTACAGGAAGTATGACATAGGCACCGTTGAGTTTCTGGCGTATTTTGGCAACATTTGCGAGAATACCTTCTGCTACTTCGTCAGCACTGCTGTTGACATTGTTGGTACCAACGTGCAGAACAACTATTTTCGGATTAACATTGTCCAACGCTCCATTTTCGATACGCCATAGAACATGTTCGGTGCAATCGTCTCGTATACTGAAGTTGAGGCAATGCAATGGTGCAAAATACTGATTCCATGTCTCCGTATCTTGTAGCGTCTCAAATATGCAATCTCCTATAAAAATTACGTCGGGATCTTTTTCGCGGCAATCGGAAATAAACCGACGATGAATGCTATGCCAGCGTTTGTCACCATCATCGTCGGGAACGGGTGTGGGCAATACGCATGAATTCATATTCGTATCCTGATGTTCTGCCTTCAACGCAGCTCTTCGTACTGAAAACCAAAGGAACTTGAGGAATATAAACGTTGCTTGCTTTATCATTTGTACCTGGAATTTTCAATTTCAAAATTTGTGTCTCCTGAAGCGGACGCAAATGAAAAATTTCAACATAAAGAATAATTAACAAAACGGCGTCGTTTGTATATGGGCCACTGCATTAATTGATTGAACATAAAATATATCGATACCGCTGCAGTAATTTATCGAACTGTAATGTATAAAATATATGCCCTCTGTACACTGAGCACCTCCATATGGGACGGTGGAATTTTAACACAGATGTGGAACACCGATTCACATTTGCACATGTATAAATTTAAAAATTTTGCGATTATCTTGGCTATGATGTGTATTGAATTTATGATGAACGATATTTATATATATAATAACGAAAATTATATTGCAAAGTCTCGAAACAGTTTTTTATAAGTTTGAAAGGAATTTTTGTTTTCCGCGGTGCTGAATACAGATCTTAAGCTAAACGTTTTGGTACATTTTTTTATAGTTTTGTTATATGATTTATAATACTCATATCTATGGAAAAACGACCCTCTTTGTCTCCTTCCCACAGATATGGCTTTACTCAATGATCTTGAATCCACTCACGGTTTAGCATTTAGCGCGCACAATAAACACAATTAATTCGGTGATCGAAGTGATCAGTAGATCGAACGATGAAGGATTATATTTTGACTTCAATTTCAGACTTTTTGTATTTTTGTTTTTATATTTTGCAAAATATTTATGTTTATTTTCATCAGTTCTGTTTCCCATCGTCCCACATTTATGTACTCAGAGTGCAGTGCTAGTAGACACACCTGATGCAAGTCGAATGTATAAAATATGTAAATATCGATATCGAACACCGATACATCGATAAAATCGATTGTACTCCAGCTCTACTTTGGACGTGTGACCGATCAAATTTTGCTACGTCAATTGAAAATTTTAATAAAATAATAATACGTTATTTCTTTCGACCATTTTATGTACGTAAAAATCGTAGCTTAATATTAAAAAACTGAACATATCCGCTGTGTATATGTTTATTTAGGATAACCGTTCGTGTATATTTACGTGTACATATTATTAAATTGCTATACATTTGAAAACAAACCCAGAATGAATAAGGAAATACAAAATATACTGGCTGAGTAGCAATGTTTTTTACAGGAATGTTTTTATTCCTATCTTTCTAAAGGCATTTAATTACAAATTACCAACATTTATTTGTGGACTCTGAGTGATTAAAGTCTACAATGCCAATGTAAACATACATTATGTACAAAGTACATTATTGTGAGTAACTTTGGTTGAGCAGGATAACTTTATATTAGGACATTCACTTATAAAAGCCAAATGCAATGACGCAGAGTAAACTTGTGCATACAATGTACATGTGTTATACTTTTATAACGTTCTTAATCTTTGGCAAAGTGCGCATTAGCTTACAGACATATGTACATATACTATGTAAATATGTATAATCTTTACGTACGTACATATGTGCATACATATGTTATTTTATAACTTTGAAACCTTTTTCAGTAAACAAGGCACATACTTATGTATGTGCATATGAACATACAGTAAGCAAACATATTAGGGCGTACGAATAATACCACTCTAGTTCAGGGCTGAACGCCTATAACTTAGTAGACGGTTAACGTAAACAGAAAAAATTAGTTCCATATCAAAAATCAACCAAGCTACACATCATCATACAAAAATAGTTGAATTTTCTAATTAACAACTGGTTGTGCTTGCACACATACAAACGTACATTCCTCAGTTGTAGGTAAATCCGGTATTTAGAATTGGGATGGAGTTAAATAGATTATTTTTTGATGCACTACATTCAATGTATCTTAGATTTCCATCTAGTTTTCCGGGTTATACATGTCGTATTTCCTAATTTGTGGGGTTTTACCTAATTGACACCTTTGCACAAGTTTTTCAAATAAATATAGAGAGTATCTTTAGTATCTTAGTTCTGAAAACAGAAAATTCAATTATATTTTGTAATATTTTAAATCTAACTTATTACTTAATTAAAAGTAGAAGCTTGGTTCAAGCATGGAAACGCCAAAACTGGCGACAGTGCCGGAGCACGGCAACCTATCATACACTGGGAGCAGCAACGTCAACAGTACGGAAGCAGCCACAGAGCAAGCAAACAATGAACAACATACCAATTCTGCAGCTCATATGCGACCGTGTGGAAGGTCAGCGCTGACAGTTTCGGAGGAAGAAGGGGCTACTACCAGTACGTCGTACTCATTTACGGGCAGTTCGCTTGCTGGTGGAAATATTGCTGATTTGAATAAATCTGTAGATGCTGGGTCTGCTCAGTCTGAGCCTGGCTTAAATGCCGAAACCAAGGATGCAACTGGCAGCAGTTCTAACGATAAGGAACATGCCGAAGAGTCGCTTTACGAGTGTAACATATGCTTGGACACTGCAAAAGATGCCGTGGTTAGCATGTGTGGGCATTTGTTCTGTTGGCCCTGCCTACACCAGTGGCTATTGACGCGCCCAAGTCGCAAGCTCTGCCCAGTATGCAAGGCTGCAGTTGACAAAGATAAAGTCATACCACTTTATGGACGAAATAGCACGCGCCAAGAAGATCCTCGGTGAGTAAAACTGCAACTAAAACAGTAAATTAACAAAAATTTAACAATCATACTGGATTCTCCACTTTTTATAGGAACAAAGTTCCCCCACGACCTGCTGGTCTCCGCACCGAGCCAGAGCCGGCGCCTGGTTTTCCTGGCTTTGGATTTGGCGATGGCTTTCACATGTCCTTTGGCATTGGCGCTTTTCCCTTTGGTTTTATTACATCTTCACTTAATTTTGGCGAACCGCGTCCGGCTGGTGAGTTCGTTTCCCATTTATATATTCCCATTTGCTTCATTTTCCTCCGTCTCTCTCAAACTTTTAGCTGCTAATCGCGGCACCACGCAATACGAGGACGAACAGACACTTTCCAAGCTGTTTCTTTATTTGGCCTTCCTGTGCATCGGTTGGCTACTCTTTGCATAAAAATATGCCGAAGCAGCCGTAAATGAGGATGACAAACACCAGCATTGACATTGAAGCGCTAAGAAAAATCGCAAAAGCAAACAATAAAGAGCAGTTCCAACGGCGAAATTTAAGCAATTACGAAACTAGTATACAACAGTGCAATGGACATGGACTCCGCTGAGCCAAAAAGGTTATGATGCGATCAAATCACAAGAAACATTTAGCGTCCTGAATGAAAAACAAAAAAGACACCAAATGGGCTTAGTTTCGACTCAACGCCATTCTCAGAGAACCCACGTGTGGCCTCCCAATATTAATCCAAAACCCATTCTTTCTGTATGCTCCTGGAACGCCTTTACATATTAATAACCAGAAATTAGTTGTACAAAAAAAGATATATGGAAATACATGCATAACTAAATGACAACATTTAGCAACTGTGAAATATCTAAATAAATGTTTGTGGCGGCCGGGGGCTTTATTTTATCCCTGGATACCCGATAATAAGGAGTATAGTAAGGTCTATGGCTCTGGCAGCCAAGATCCTGAGGGTTTTCAGTGGTGCAATTCTAGCGTTCGAATCGCTGTAATGCACAAGGGTAATCGAGTGTGATGGTTGACGAAATGGAAGGTTTTTGTAAAATTTATCTACTACGGTAGGATGGCAGTCTCTCTGTCCGGATGTACTGCAGCCACCATACACTACAATCGGACGAACAAGAAAGAGATAGAAGATCTTCGTCATATAGGGATCATTACTGTGGTGAGAACGGATTGCATTAAATGTCCTTGTACTGGACACAAAGCTTCACAAAAGAGTGTGCAAAGTTTGGGGCCTCAATAGCTACCCTGTGGTATTCCATAGGTAACCATGACAGGTGGCCTAGTTCTTAGAGAGCCATAAGAGCTAGATCAACCATATTGTTTCATCAAAACGAGTCTCACAATGTTTCACTTGTTTTTTGTAAGGCTGTGCTATGGTAGTGGGTTACCATAACTACTAGAACGCCAATCTTGAATGAACAAATAATATGCGGAAACTGACCTATTCATTTCCCTTCCCTTACACCACTAGAAAAGGATAGGATGTCAAAAACAATCAATGATGTGTACACAAAGTTCGTTCCTATACCACTAAGTATAACTCACGGATAGAATTAAACTTAAAGCCATATATTTAAAATATTCACAGTTGCTTTATTGCATAGGCTTACTATTAATAGGTCACAAAATAAGCTGAAAAGATCAGATTCTTCAGTGATTGATATTTCAAAAGTAAAAGTTGTATTCTTTAATTATGTTAAAATTTTTATTAATGCATTTCAGTGTAAAAATTAAAATGACACATATTTTCTTACGTAAATTTCACATGATTCTTTTTTTTATTATATTTTTTGTTTGATGCTTGCATTTTGTTTAATGACAAGTAAAAAAAATATATCTACATGTACAATCAATTATACCATTATAATTTAAATTTGATTTTTTTAATATTTTCACTGTCTATCCTTTGTTTTATTTATTGCTAAATCTAGTTATAAACGTACTAATAAATAATTTATGAAACTATATTTTTTGTTGCAATTTTCATGATTTGAATTTTTTCCCAATTTTTCATCTATTCTACACGATACGAAATTTCTCAGCAAACTCCCCACTTTTTGCAATTACGCCCTTTATTCTCTTTTTCCAAGTCTGCTTTAACGTATTGAGCACCAGTGAAAGAAACGCAACTCAAACATTAAGGAACCTTCAGTAACGGTATTATACATACATACGTACATATGTACGTGGAACATTTACATGTACATAAGCATTTATTCGTGTAAATCACCGGAAAAGTTTTACTTTTAAACGATTTCGAAATATTTTAATGCAAAAATTTGGTTAAAACTTAATTGGTTAAGGTGAACGAGGTGTTTAAAAATCTTCAGAGGGTGGACATTTTGAGCAACTCATTAAATTGCTAAATTCTATAAAACAAATTTGTGTGACACTGCTAAAAAAAACGAGAAGGGGCGTGTGAGACGCTTCTTACGTGTCACAACTTTTATACCCGGCACTCAGTACTACATCTGCACCTTAGCGGTGTTTTGTCAAATTTAACATCTGTCATCTGTCATCTACATCTACAACACTTCTCACACCAACACGCTCCTTTAGCTCGCCCCCCTTCCGTAGACCCACACACTGCAGACTCGCAGCACAGGCAGTGGCCGCACACAGCAGAAGCAAAGTGTGCGGTGTGAGCATACAGAAGTCTGGATGCAAGATTTGGTGGCTCTAGCTCTTATAGTCTCTGAGTACTAGGCGCTCATCAGGAAGGACAGACGGACGGACAGACAGACATGGCTCAATCGACTCGGCTATTGATGCTGATCAAGAATATATATACTTTATGGGGTCGGAAACGTTTCCTTCTGTGTGTTGAATACTTTGTGCACAAATACAATATACCCTATTTACTCTTGGAGTACCGGGTATAAAAACCAATTTGTAATTCCGACTGCAAGGCTGAATCGATACTAATATACATGAATATATATATACATGCATATGTACATATACATATGTCTGAATGTAAGTATATAAATATGTAGATATGTATGTATATACATATGTATATTTACATCCGTAGATTTCATACTGATTGCTTCTTAGAGCTGTACTACATTCTCAGCAGCTTTAGTTAGAAAGGGCTTTCCGAAATGAATATAAAACTAAGTTCTTAGTAATTGTTGTTTATACTGCATGGGTATTTCTTTGTATGCGTTATCTTGATATTATCTAAATAGCATAATCAGATTCTTAAGAAAAATGAGATTTGTAAGCATACGGAATCGAAGAAATCAATTCACAATGTGTGAACTGTTAATAGGTGCATAAATACATACAATAGAGTCTCGCAAATTAGAACTGTAAAAAATTCGAACTATCCAGAAATTAGAACTTCTCATTTCAATGTATTACACTGAATTAAAGTAAACAAATGACCAACAAAAATTACTTCACAAAATACATGTTGAAAAAGAAAACTGAATTTTCAATTTAAAAGATAATTTAATTTTAAGAATTTAGAAAAACCTGAGGATCAAAGCTGTTCTTATTTATGTGATTCTACTGTATTTAGTTAATCTTCCATTGAAAATACATTAATTGAAAAAAAGGCGGAAAAGTTTGCTTTGCTGAGAAATTTTCTCATAGAACAAGGCTTTGGCCCTCCTGCTGTGCCCATTTAATTCAAATTGGCCTTTTACCGATGGATTGTGTAATACTTTTCTTATGTTAGGCACTATTTTATTCAATTAATATAAGGTTTCTTTTTATCTCTGGTCTTAATCAGTTGTATAGTATTACAATATCTATATTCATGGTGTAAGCATGTGTTTTTTACTCGGTACACGTTTTTTAAATTATTTAATTGTTATTTTTTTTTGTTTTTTTGCAACAGTGAGTTTCTCATTGGTTATTTATGTTATTTTTACGTTTTATTATTATTATTATTATTGTTACTGCTTAGCTAAGCTCTCGAAAAATGTACATGTACAACCCTCGCCCTCACAATTATTACGGACCTTTGTTTCATGCTTTCAACTGCATGTGCAACTTACTTTACTTACAGACAAACAAAAAAAATGCGCTTTTTTTTATTTGTACAATAAAGAAGTACTTTACATTACATATGTATATTTATATATATATATATTTTTTTTATTTTATATGTACGATTACGAGTAAACCAGAATTACAATATTTTACAATTACAATAAGTGTTTTTAATGATTTTTGCTTCTATTCCATGATCGAGTTAGAGAACTGGTGAGGAATCCCTGCAACACATTATTCTCTTTTTAAGTAAGCCAATTTGTAATGCATGCACTAAAGTTCGAGCTTAGCCTTCAGGGGATTCAGGGAGTGCGTTATTGAATAAAACGTACTCGACTTTTCTGGTTTTTTATCTGGTTTAATTATCATTATAAATCCATAATCATTTAAAAAACGGTGGTTCATTCGATTCATGCTTAATGATCTTCTTTACATGGGTTTACATATTTACATACATATGTATATGTTTGTGTACATATGTATGTATGTTTCTTATACGTTGACACTACGTATGAAAAGAAACAAAACAGTCGCTCATACAATATTCTGTCCCTCTCTATTGCAAGTGGTTTTGGCTTTGCACGCAAAGATTTCTTGTGCAGTCCCAATCCAACCCAATTCACGAGTTAACCAGCCTGCGATATACATCGTATGTATGTACGAGTGAGTAACCAATTAGATTATTGAAATACTTCTGCATCTTTCCGACACGATGCTAATCAAAACTTTGCTTCATACTTTGAATACAATTAAAAAGCTTAAACAATATAAATATGTTTACAAATTTCAACAAATATAATTTGAAAAAAAAAAAACAGAAATATGCATGTACGATTTGTACATATATTTTTTGTATGCATCCGTACACGCATTAGAGTCGATGTACATATTTCTCTATCGTTTTTTATTTCAAAATCAGCGCATGACAACTGCTAAACGTTTTCTTTTGCTTACGTTTTCCTTGGGGTTTCGTAAAAAAAAAAAAAAAACAAATTACACAACAAGAATATGTTTTAAGTAACTTTGAGATCATTTAAATGTATTTTTGATGTAAATGTATGTTAAAAATTGATTTAATTACATCAGACTGCCGACACAGAACACGTAATATGGGTGTTAGATATATTACCAACCATCCCAAATACAAAAATGCGAGACACCTTTGCTTTAAATAAAAATATAAAAAAAAAATGTCGAATCAGTGAAGCTTGAAATCTTAGTCACACTTCAATACTTTCGCAGTAATTCTTTATTGTTAATTTAAAAACGTTTCTTTGTTGTTTCTTTTTGTATTTCAATGACACAACGTGTTTACTTTACTTTGCTTTAAGGTGTTGGGAATTTCGAAAGATTCCCAAACTGATTGGTGTTGACCCAGGTTCTCAGAAGATACTATGTATGTATTGTTCATAGGAGTACGAAAATCATTAAAGTTGGACCATCTTTTAATTGAATTTATTTTCTTTCTGCATGTACATAAATCAAACGTACATGCATCCAATCAAGGATAACCTTCCAGGGTTACAAAAATGTACCAGAACAATTTGTACAATGATATAAATCTGTTTTCGATTTGGGAAATCAGTTCAGTCATGGTCGCCTGCCCAGGAAAATGGTAGAAAAGATTGGGCAAAGATTTGATATATGTAAATTCTATAGCCTTTACTGTGTCTGCCGGTTGAGCAGGTTTTCATGTAAGCCGATCACGAATTAGAGCCTGCTAATTAAACACAACAACAAAAACAACACTATGGACAACACTATGGCTTACGGCTCATCTCGATTGCTGACAACTTTGGCATCAGCAGCGACCACCACTCCCTCATCTGCACCTACATTTACCTGCTGATGCATGGACAACTCTTGTGATTCTTCCAGATATGGTTTAGACCCTGACATGAGTTCCTTGCATCCAATGCCGCTGAGGTTTAGAGCCGCGGATGCACTTTCAGTAACTCCTCCATATTCCATTGCGGACAGCCTCAGAAAGTGTTCATATGTGCTTAAGCTAGCTTTTTGCTCTAGCTTTTCCGTCCCAATGTGCTGAACTTTACTGGAGATGCATGAGCCAAACGGCTGTGCATTTATGCAATGCTGCTGCTGATGATGTTCGAGTTTTGTCTCTTCCTGTTGTTGTGACGGATAGATGTTTTCAGCTTGGCTCTGTGCGTATATAACCTCTTCTACCTGCAGTGCATCCATCGTGTCAAGTTGTTGCTGTTGGTCCAGTAACTGTGAGTGTGGCTGTGACTGTTGCTGCTGTAACTCCGGTGAGGTGGGTGACTGTGACTGCTTAATAGTTTTTTCTAATTCTGATTCGTTCCCATTTGTAATATCTCTTTTAGCACACTTTTGCGTTTTCTTGCTATTATTGTTGGCATTGGTGTTGGTATTGGTATTGCTATTATGTTGGCTACTAACCGTATTGTTATTGTTATTTTTATTTGTATTTTTGATTCTGTTGGTGTTGCTGCTGCTGCTGTATTCGCTGATTTGTGCATTGGTGGGGTTTGCGGACAAATTAGGCGCTGCTTCGTGCAGCTCTTGCTATTCCTTTATAAGACGATAAATGTGGTGCGTAGTGCCGCTGTTCTGGGCGGCAACCTCAAACACATACGCTATGCATAAAAGCGTCTCTTGCGTCTCTCGCGCTCGCATTACCTGTCAAGGTGCAAAGAGAAGAGTTAAAGCATTGACAGGCATGAACAAATAAATACTAAACTCACTTGTAATATTGTAAAGTTCTCTAGCACACTGTTCATCATATAGCGTTCGGGTAAATTTTTCAGCTTCTGTATGAAATTAATCATGTACTCGCACATGGGTGAGCGCTGTATGCGATACACGTAGCGATTGTTTTCCAGGCGCGAGTACTCGCTCTCAACCTTTTCCACAACTTGCTTGCCGAAGGAGCAAACAATTGTCGAGCACACAAGTACGATGTTCTCATTGCTTTCATATCTGCATTAGAGTGGGAAGTTTAATTACAAATTCTATGGTGGAATTATAAGTAATGGACTTACTGGCTCGTTACGCCATAAAAATCACCCGATTCGCTGCCTGTCGTTATGTCGGTATTTAAGTCAGCCCAGCATTTTACCAGGTAAAACGCATTTTGCGGACCCTTTTCGTAGAGATCTTTCAGACCGCCAGACTTTTCCGGAAACTTGTCAAATATTTGTCGGATATCAACAGTCTGGAAAGAGTAAAAGGTTCGTTAAAAATTTTCTAGATGCAATGGCAAAACGAGTGCACTCACCTCAAGTAGCGGATCGGAGAATGATGGCTTGCCGCCGAGTTGCACGAAAAGGTGGCGGTTATACTGCGATGTTAACTAAAGGTCAGATCAATTCATTTGAAGTTGTAACGACAATTGTTGCACTTACCATGTCATCCCTTTGGATTTCCATGAACGCAGTGAACTCAAGTAAGCGGAATTTGTGCGTAGCAATGGCGCGACCCTCCCATGGCAATTGTGCGGAAGGAATACCAGATTCGATTTCTCCGGACACGGCCGTTGATGGCTTACCCGTCGGATATGGTGGCTGCGCAAACGGCTTGATGCTGTAATCATAGAAACTATTGGTCAATGCAATTGCGATGTATTGTCAGCTACCAAGGGGTGGGCGATGGCAACTTACTCTTGCGATGTGCTAGGCTGCAAGCCAGGCTGCCAAAATTGCTGTGCGCAAGAAGAGAAAGTATACAAATTGATTAGAAATTATAGATACATCGATAGCTGTGTTAATTTTCGTATGTGTTATTTTTGATTGGAGGTTACACAGTATGATCGTTGAACAAGAGGAAAGGGTTCATCAATTTCTTATTAATTGATTCCACATAAATTAGTGTTAGCCATCGACCAGCGAACAACAAACCCCAATTGGCAAACGGAGCGACTAGTACACATTCTCTTCTGTTAAACAAATTGCTGCAACATTATGGCAGTTGCAGCAACTGGCGTGTTAAAAATAAAGGAGCCATATTCAATGAGTAAGCGAGCGCATGGGTCTTAACGGTGGGCAAGGGTATGAGATATGGTGCTAAAACTATGCCATTGTTGGCTTACACATAGGTATAACCAAACTGTATGATAAAGACAGTGAAAAAGAGAGAGAAAGAGCAAGAGACACCTGAAGATATACAATGATTGAGAATATTTATACATAAATGTCACTATCTAAATGAATGATTTGCACGATTGTCAGTTGCAGTGTTACGCAAAAGAAGCAACAGAGCAGCACTGGGATTAAGGAACAAAACATCAGCGAACGGGTCGAAGCACTCACGATAAACGAGCGATTATGCTAAGCGAATTTTGAGAGAGAGAAACCAAGTTTCACAGGTGATGCGGCAATGTGTGCAAAAATTGTGCTTGCAGGTCAGTAGCTCAGCCATAAGTGGGAATTGAATTTAGTCCCAGTAATGGAAATGAACTTGAACTACTCTGATGAAAAGTTGTGCATGGTTGAGCATTTGTGATTTGATTTGATTTGATTTGATTTGTGGAAACTGCACGATGCGATATGAGATTGATTTTGGTAATTAAAACAATTGCTTACGCCCGGATACAACGGCGAATGGTGTAACGGCTGGGACGGCTTTGGTGCCAGCACCTGACTAGTGATTGAGACATCAAGAATCGGTGACCCTGCGTCTGCATCAGTTTCGCTTGGACCACCACTTTGCTGCTGCTGCTGCTGCTGCTGTTGTTGCTGCTGCTGCTGCTGCTGCTGCTGATAGTGATACACTGCTGCAACGGCCGCTGCATTTCGATGATGATGGTGATGGGGATGCATATGACTATGCGGAAGGTGTGCAAGATTGTGATGGGTATGATTGTGGCGAGAGTGGACATAGTTCTGAGATGAAGACGACGTATTTAGCGGCGGCCCTGTGACTGTCGTCGAAGGACATGGCCCAGCAGCAGAACCTGCTGCCGTTGCTGCTGCTGCAGCTACTGCTGCTGCGGCGGCTACACTCATCTGGTGGTGGTGAGCGGGATGATGTGGGTGATGCTTCGTATGGTGCATGCCCACGGACAGCGCTGAGGCAGCCAGTGCCAGATTATTGGCTGCTTGGGCAGATACGATTTGTGAACTAGTCATTGTGCTCATGACTTGCAGAGTCTGTTCTTTGTCATTCAATAAATGCAAGGACACACCATTGGGTTCCTGGAAAAGAGTTTCAGTTGGTCGTGTATCGATTGGCTTTAGGGTTATGGTACGGGCTTCTTGATGTTAAAGACTGCCGAATTGTAGTTAGTGTTTTATAGTCTATCCCACACAAGTTGCTGGATGTTTTCCGTTCAAAGACCCCCAAATAAGTAACACACTTCTAAGCCTAGAATCCGATCCTAATTTACCAATGGAATACATCTCGCATGCAAAGTGAAACCATCAGAGCTCTTCGTGGAGCTCTTTGTGGAGGAATGGATGATACTTACGACTTTGATTTTCGCCTGAATTTCTCGCAGCTTCCGCCTGGCGAGCACTTGGATATGGGAGCTGACTTGCTTGCGGGTTCTCGTCTTGCCAGTGCGCAGTTTTATGTACCTTGCTATAAGCTCGTTGCGACCTCAAAAAAAGAAAGAAAAAAATCAGAGATTAAATAATTATTTTAAGGACATTTTTCACATTTCTCCATTTTGTTGCTTTAAATTGATCAATTACGAGTATAGTTTGTGCACCATTCTCAATGCCGAAAGGAGCTAGGCGATGATTTCAACCAGGCCTAGTTTTCAGGGACTACAAGTAACCCAATTTTGCACCCAGACTGCAGTGATACTTTGGGTGGGAGACAATAACAATAATGTTGTGGAATTTATAGACTTTTGAGCTTTGTTGGCCTTTGCCGTAGCCTTACCCTATCTTACTTACTGTCTACCCAACTAAATCTCTGACAGAAATGATTGCAGGAAATCTATGAAAAGTTGAATACTTACCATACATTTTTCCCTCATCTGACAAAATAATTTTTCTACGTCCACATGGTGGATATATAGATAATGCCTCTTGAAAGCTCTGTTCAATATCTGGACTCCAAACACCCTCTGCATCAGCGGACGATAAATCCTTTTCATCCTGAAATAAAAAGCATAATAGGATTAGATTTCGAATAATATGATCAATGATCAACACAGTTGAGTGATTTATAAATGCAAATAGAGCTTCAACATCAGTTAGGGATTTAATTTGTGTTCTTACATCGCTCATATCACCAACATCCAAGTTTTTACTATCCACCATGCTGCCATTTGTGTCTGCCGATCCTAGTGCACCTGGAGGACCGGCATTCACTGGGGTCCACGGAGATGGTATGGTGCCGGGTCCGACTGAAATGGAAAAATAATTGAAAACAAACAATAAAGACAATTATCACGGGCACACATTTTATTGTTTTATATTTATAAACGTGAACATGAATCATTTTATACTCTTCGCTGCTTATATGCTAGTATTATTTTTAAGATGAATATTTGTTAGAGAATATTTGTTTTTATCCCTTAAAAACAGACCGACGGCCGATGGACCGATTGTTTGAACAGTAGAAAAATGGAAAAGCTTAAAGCATACTCATCGCAGCAACTCACCCGATAATGCCTTGAATTCCTCAAGGGAATCCAAGTGTTTAGAAAACGGCGCCAATTTAAAGCCGTTTTTTAAATAAAAAACAAACACCTCTTAGTTCGCAGTTGTATGCTTAAATTATATCCAATTCTTTGCTGGGATTACAGTTTTGCTGTGTACATAGTATGTATGTATTTATGTATGTTTACCAGCAACAATATAATATTGTTTTTTCTTTTTTCGGTTTTTAAGGTATTACATTTCGAAGCATTTCTTTGCACATATATCTATGTAAATTTCCACCTTTTTATTATTGCTTTACCCTTTTTGATAAGTTTAGTTTTTGAACAACACACACACACACACACACACCCACCACACACACAGTGAGAGAGAGAGAGAGAGAGAGAGAGCACAGGGAAACCAAAACGCGTCTGTTTGGGAGAAACTCGTTTGATAAACTGAAAATTCTTTTTACTATCCACAAATTTATTTTATTTGTTCGGCCCGATCCCTTGCGTTGGTATATATTCCTGCCACTGCTGCCTTCCCCCGTATTTCCAAAGAGTACAGGGGATGGTTCTGGGTTTCGTTGAAGCCCGGAATAGGATGCAGCGCACAATTAAGGGAAGGGAATTTTGTCAAAATGTCGAGTGTGACGGCAACTGGGACGGCAATATATTTGGAAATATATTTGAATCCAAATGAAACAAAACGCTCCAATTTCGAGAAGTATATTCCGTCTCAAAGCCACCAAAGTACACTGAATATATGTAGTATCTATCGATCAAGGATCAAGCACACACGACACCTACTGTACTCTGTACTCATAATCTGCCTTGCGTCAAAGCAAAGGAAACTATTTAAAGCATATGCACGGGCACTGCACAAGTCAGGGGGTTGCTTGCACCCCGTTTGTAGCCACCATAGGGATGACTGCCATTTCCATAATCTTGCAATGGCTCACTGTTATTTCCAATTTGAATTTAAGGCAGGCCCCGGTACTGGAAATGTTCGTATTCCACTACACTTGACTGACAGACAGGAATATCAGATCCAAACTTAAAAGGGAGACACAATGGACAAATGTTGTTGGCATTGGTGGTTGATTGATTCACCAACACACACCAGTGCCGACGAGTCTAGTCAAATTCAACACTGAAAGTGCAATTCTACTACAATTGGACTAGTCCAAGTCTAGTAAAAGTGGATTAAAGCGCTAAATTTATTTATTTATTTGATCTTTTACCGGTTCTCTCTCTCTTTAGCTATCTAGACTGAGTCTAGCTTGAAGTCTTGTTTTACACGATCATATGGGAAAATGTCCTTCGTGTCCTGTATGGTGTTGTAAATATCCGACACGCGCCCATCTCTAGCTCACAGCTGCTTATGTTGAGGTCGGGAATTTTTAAGGGAATGTGTGCCCTTGTCGCTGGTATTCTATTTCTACCCTTACCAATTGAATGTTGTCGTTGTTGTGTGGCAATTGGAATTTTTGGTATACATTCTACTTTTTCCTTTCCTTTTGTGAACGTATTCGTTGCATTCCTATGTAAAATATGAGTATGTATGTGTGTGTGTGTGCGCTGACGCCCCTACATGTGATTTTGCACAGCTGAGAAGAATTAGACGAACAAGCCGGAACAAGAAAATTGATCGCACTAGAGCTGTGGTGTGCATATATCACTAAAGTTTTTCTATACATACACAATTATGTGTGCGCATACATATGTATATTCAATTACATATGTACACTCCTCGACACTCATGAATGGAACACCCCATTAGGCCATTTTGCACGTTAAATAGGGTGTATTATATGTGTGGTGGAAGCAATCTGCGTTACGTCTGTCCGTCCCTCTTGATGACTGATGACTACTCAGAGACCAAAACAGCTACGGCAACAACATTTTGAATCCAGACTGCTGTTATATCACACTATTACAAGTTTGTTTCAAAATTACACCTCGCCACCCTTCGCCACCACAAAAGGCGAAAATCTGTGACATCCACAATTTTGAAGATAAGAGAAAAAAAATAACACAGTTTCGTAGAGAATATCCATAGCTATTAGATTCCCAAATTAGAGTCAGATTGGATCATTATTGAAGCCAGACTGTAGAATTTTATTAGCTGAACTTAACGCTAAACAAGTTAAATGTAAATAGGTTTAACAAATTCTAAACTGTGTAATTTATTAAATTTAGATGTTACCTTGGTAGGAAGGGTTAAAGAAAATTATGATGAGTTGGAAGACAATTGGAAAAGATCATGAAACGAATAGAAACTATACATATATCATGCTCAACAGTTTTTCTCTCTTGATTGGGGTTTTAAAATGTCTACACGTGCCGGCAAATCTCGACTAGTTTTGGATATCTTCATGTACTTATTCTGGTGAAAAACCGTACCCGATTTATGGTTTGGGACCCTTTGATATGAAATGTGAGATCGTATGTTTGAAATGGTTTCATAAGAAAGCAGTACATCCTACATCTTCGTGTGAACACCATCCTTATGGTATATGCAAAGATTGGCTTCAAAACGATAAAGCTTCTTTTAATGTTGAAAGGCCTATGATCGTTGCTTCTTGCAATAAGAGTGGTCGATTTGACAGATTTTCTCATTGATCCCTAAAAGGTTAACCACTTGCACCACTGCACCACCACGAAAGAGAATGAGCACGAATATGTAGGGGGGAAGTAGTAGCTATTGCAAATAATAATAATCCCAATTTAGGAATCTAATATGGATAGACATTCTCTAAGGATGTGAGTTTTTGGTTTTCTCATATCTTCACAATTGTGTATATCACAGATTTTCGTCCTTTGTGGGGATGGAAGGTTGCGTGGCTAAATTTTGAAACAAACATGATTCAGTGTGACATTACATGAGCCTTTACAAAAAAGTTGGTGACTCTAGCTCTAATAGTCTCAGGGAACTAGGCGTCAAACAAGACGGACAGATAGACAGACGGACTTGATACTGATCAAAAACATGTATAGGGTGGAAAACTTTTCCTTCTTTTCCTTTACCCTTCGAGTAACGGGTATAATAACGGAAAGAAATGGGACACGCTACTGTAACTTTACAATCAATGATTGTTGTTGTTCGAGTAAATAAACAAGTTTGATCTTCATGTTGAATATGATCAGGTACGGAAGTACTATTTCATTGAAATGAACTTTACGTTACGTTGTATAAATAAACCAATGTACCAATAAACAAATGTAACAGGATTCTGAACGATCGTGCATAAAGATTAATGAAAGACGAAGCTGCCTTTGGCTTTTCAGTTGGCTATTAGCTCTTCGAATTTCACTCCAGAAATGACTCGTGTGACTTGGAAATAACATCATTATTGTATGAAAATGATATTTAGGGATGCTGTATATTAAAGACATTATGAATGTATCGTCTCCCATCGATCTGTGAAAACATCTAGAAGCATTCGCTTCAAAATGTTCAAGTTAACTCATAATTTCACCCACAGGTTCCAACTGAGCTTAATTTGACTTTTAGCATCATCGAACATATGTACATATGTACATAGTATGTACATATTTATGTACGCATCTTTATGTTCATACGCATGAATGTCCATAAATTAATTGTTACATCATGTCCAAAGACAGAGAGAGAGAGAGAGAGAGAGAAAGAGAGAGAGGTAGAGAGAGAGACAGGGGCGGTGAGGGGGTGAGACAGAGCGAGAGCGAGAGAGTAATGTTACGCACCTGTTTCTGATTTGCCAACAATATCCAATTCGCTGCTGTTCAGATTGTTCTGCAATTGCAGCAGCCCTGTGCTGCAGGTGCTCGAGCTGGTTATGTTTTTCATGCAGCCAGCTTATAGGGTTCCCGGTTCGCAAAGGACACGCAATCTTAGACACTCGTACATATGTACATATGCACATAGATGACTGCTGTGCTGTTCTGTGCTTCTGGATTTAGACTCTGATGTCACTGCCACTGGTGCTGATACTTTAACGATTGCTTGTTGTTATAATGATAGTCTAACTATGATTAACCTTGAATTAAGTATTTATTATCTGCAACTGTGAAAGTATCGTTTCTTGAACAGAAAAACCTTTGTTTTTGTTTTTGTTTTTGAACGTCTGGTTTATTCCCAACTTTTATTTTCACTTCACTGGCACTTGATATAATTGAATTTAAAATTTTGTTGTAGAAACATGTGTACATACATATGTACATATTGTATGTATGTATGTATGTTGGTTAGCAATTCTGATTGATCATTTATACTCGGGGAAACTCCTTCAAGATTGTGTGCCCTCTCTTACTCTCGCTCTCTCTCTCTGCATCTTTTTCTCTCAATCCATTTCGCCAATACTGACGATAGTTTTGTCTCTCTGTTTTTCTCTCTACCTTTTTTCTGCTCTTTATGCAACGGCGTATGTGTGATTGAGTGTTCCGGAGAGAAGCTTTCTGTCAACGCCTTTGTGCAAATGCGAGTATTTTGTAGAAATACTTTCAGTAGAAATAGCGCGCAGAAGCAATATCGCCAAAAACAACGGCAGCGATAAAAGGCACACCAAAGAACAGGCATTTGTAGAATGAACAAATGGTATGTTCATTTTAAATTTACAAGTGTTGTTTTCGCTTATTCATTTCACTTGCGAATTTATGGGAAAGACCTAAGCTTAATTGCAATTTTTATAGTGCAGCTGCCCGAAAGCCAAGTCTCGGTTTGTATTTTTCGTATCACTGCTTCCGTCGCTGCTGCTGAAAAGTGAGTTTTTCAGCATACACACCACATGCATACACATAAGTGTGTGTGCGTGTGTGCGGTTATTGAGAGGGTACCCAGAAAAGCAAAGGCTCGCAAATGTTACCGCACACGAGTCAAATGCGCGACTCGAAAAAACCCTCGCAATCAGATCAAGTAAGATATGATTCATACTTCGTTCAGTTTGCGGCAGTACCAATCGAGAGTTTTTTTCTAGTCTCTTTTGCTCTCTCGCGAGCTCGTTTGCCAGTGTTTTGCTGTACAAAATTATATCACTCACTTTCAAGCTTGTTGAAGAGTGTAAATATGATTTTCTCTCATTTGAGCACGTTTTCGAGAATATTGCGAGACTCTTGCAAAAGGCTGGTGCGATGCGTTGGTTTCATGGGTAGTAAAAAGTACGTATCTGTTTTGTACGAAGAATCCAACATCGCTGCATACTGAGTACTGCATCTAACTATGTAAATATGTATGTATTGATTGTATTGTACATACATACAAACATTGTATGTCATTAACATAAGTATGTAGAACAAAAAGAACATCAGTTGCAGGTGCCCTGAACTGTATTTGGCCAATAACATTTACTCAGGCGATCATTGGGGGTGACGTGTCAACCTGCTGGTAGTCTAGTCCATGACTAGACCTAACACGATCTAGGCAGTAGACAAGGGAGCTAAGTATCTACACCGTTACCCAGGTGTGCCTTGGAGTATATTTTCTTCCTTGGGTCGTTGCCAAGCCCATAAACGAGCTCGTTTAAGCCACTGTCCAGATTCAGAAATACAGGGTATGTCTTGACCAACACACAGGGAGACATTTCTTTGCCCCATACATATACATATGTATATCTATCTGCACTTCCTTCTGTAGCTGTGTGCACACACAGATACAAAAATATATATATATATATATATCTATATATATATATAGACATGTGTGTTTAGTGTCTGCACATGAATCTTTTACCCCACTCTCTGCGCACACACTAGCGCGCATTCACACAAACACACACAAATTCAACAAGCAGTTGAATGAAATCACATTGTTGCTCTTCTGTTCTCTTCATGTTTCGTTTCTCTTTTAGGTGATGTTGCTGGTTTTGTTCAGCGTTTTTGCCTGCTTGGCAATTTCTCTGACTGGTTTTGTTATTGGCGAGGCAAGAACATACATATGTACGTACGTATGTATGACTCCATGCACAATGTATGTACATATGCAAGTACTCATTTATTCATTTGTGTTTGATGTCGTTAATTGCGGGAAATTTGTTTAACGATCATAATCTATTTTAGGTTTATTGGCCTACTCTCCGTCTCGTGACACTCCCACCTTTTCCAGTTTCTCACCCACACAAACATGCAATGTATGTACATATGGATGTACACATGTACATAACAAAGATAACAAACATCCAACGAAGCGGCGTCGAGATTAAGAGAACTACGGGAGATTGTGGCGATCGTACACACATACACACATATATATGGACTTTTTAACCAGTTTTAAAGTTTTTGTGTTTGTTTGTATGTATGCACGTATGTACATACAGATGCAACACATCCATAAGATAAAAAAAAAATAGTACACCAAGAACAAATTTAAATCAAACAAAAAGTTATGATTATGCAAATTGAGGAAAATCATTCACATTGAAAGCACCGACAAAGCGAACACCGTACAAAAGTTGAAAGCGGGAGGGGCGCACGAGCGATGATGACAAAGAAAAAATCGCGGAAACACTGCGAAACGCAACGCGCAGAAGCGAGAGAAACTCATCGACTGAATCTGAATCAATACTAAGAACGACGAGACGACGACGACGACAGAAGCTACATACATCCGTACATGTGCATGTATGTATGTACATACATACATACATACATACTGTCCATAGCTGGTTAGCCTGGCTCTTTTCTCTGGTGCGCTGGCGTCTGGCGTCGTCTGCCTGCTTGACTGGTTTGGCCAACTTATGTTTGCATGTCATACATACATACATTCATACATACATACATATGTATGTATGTATATTAATTAACAATAAAGTAAGGCATTCCCTTTCTTTGGGCCTGGCTTCTTTGATTGCATTCTTCAGTAAATTCGTTTACATGTTATTGTGCGTGTTTAGCCTAGGTTTGCTGTCCAATAGAGCTAGATCTTACCTGCCATACCTTTTATTAATATACCTTGGCTCGGCCTGTTGAGTTTGCTACACACACAACAACCACAGCCGCACAATCCGATCAAGCCCCAACCCAAAACCAATACCAATGCAACGCACAAGAACCTGGAGAGCTACGAGACCGCGCGACACGGAATACCTCACGACTCCCTCTCCCTTGATTTTTCTTATGCTCCTACTCGAGCGACGTCGGCGTGCAAACCTACAGATATACACACATCTGCTTACCTACATTCGTATGTACATAAATACTTACACAGTGTGTGACTAACACCACTCGTCGCTTGATTCTTCTCACTTGTTCTGCTGTTGGCACGCCAAGCATAAAAGAATAGCCTTTTCAATTACATATGTTTGTACATGTGCATGTATGTACGTACGTACCTTCATATGTACACGGAACGGTTAAGAAAGACTATATCTGCATATTTACATACAGCTGCCTGTGTAATGGATATGTAAAGTAAATGTACGAGTAAGCGTTTATGTACATACATACATACATGTTTATCATTTACACATGCAATATGTAGAAATCACTCCACAGGAGTGTTGTCTGTATACATAATCTCTGCGTAAGCACATAATTACATACATACATATGTATACTCGGCTGAAACGGCGATTCAAATTGGATTCGGCTCGGTTGGCCCGGTTCAGCTTCGACTCAATTCAGTTGCAATAATTTGAACAGCTGATTCTCAATGTTATGCAATGATAAAGTACATATGTAAATACATACATATGTACATATGTATGTATGTATTTTAATAAGCAAGATGCTTGTGATGGCATCGAGCGATGGCTCGCTCGACTGGCAAAGAGAAACAAATCGGAAGATAAAGCAGCGTGAAGTAGTCAATCGGACAACACAAAACTTCAATACATTTCTGAGATCAGTGCTACTAAGAGGGTATGGTCATATTTATAAACAAGCTGTCATAGAAAAACGGTAAATTGTTTTGAATTTATTTAAACTTTCTTCAGTGCAGAATATTGTTCTTTCAATTTCATAATTTTGTTTGAAAGTAAAAATGAAAAAATTTGAAAGCTGCATACAAAATGTTATGAGTAAACAAAACGTGCAGCCCCACATATATATACATACAAATGTACATATGTTTATACATTAAAGCTCTACGTGCAGGCGATGCATCGTCTACAAGCCACCTTAAGAGTTCGGGAGCTTTCAATCTGTCGCTTTATTTTGTATTCGACTTACGGTGAACGGTGTTGCAAGTACGTGCATTTTTGTATGTATGTAGCTTCGATCAGGGCAGAATGAGAAGCATAGCTGAAAAGCTCAAAGCCCATGACTTAGTGTAAATATCAAAATCAGTTTGATATTCTGTGCAGCATCATGATTGTATGAGTGAAATGAGATTGTAAGCATCGTCTAACAGAACATTTACACTCAGTGCGCTCGCTCTCCCACTCGTTTCTATCGTCATTTAACAGTGAATCACTGATATAACGCACACAAAAATATGATTACGGAACACCCGGCTGGTACCATGGAGTCTAAAGCAGGTTCTAAACGATGCATCCCCTGCACTTGGAGATTTCATGTATGTGAGGCTGCACGCTTTGTTTACACGCTGTTCCATTTAGCAAGCAGTGTTGATCAGAAAAAGGGCGGAACGGGGGAGACATGGCTGTTATGGCCTATTTACATTAAGGTGTAGCATAGGCGCCTAGTGGTGGCAAAAACTTGCGGTTTGGCTGCCTTTCAGTTGCATTTGTTCGATTTTCCGAAAGTTTAAACTGTTCGTCTATCGTGTGAACTACCACCACTAGGTACGGAAAAAAAAACATGTTTGCACTGCAGTCCCCCAGCCCCACAGCACCACAGAAATTAAATATCTGCTTGCTTTATTCTTTACGATGCCACACTTAAAAACTTTGTAGTATTTTTTCCATTTAAATGATAAAAAACATCGATAGGCCAAAGGAGCATTACATTCGATTACATACATGAATTCGAATTGTACACCAGCACTAAGGAGGGATTTTACAATTTATAAACTGATCGCGAGTAAAAGGTTAAAATATCTACGAAGTTCATGTAAATCAAACAGACAGAAAGCCAAGCAAGTCTTCGTCATCTGCTTTTGTACAAACGAACAAAATACCGTTTGTTGCATCTGTTTCTGTATCATATTTGTGAATACGTACTATGCCGGAAAGATAAAATGTGCCATAATTATGAAGTTCCAGCATTAAGCTTAAAAAAGACAGGAAAGAACTTGATAAGCTCTCAAAAAAATCGCTTAAAAATTCATCAAAATATTTATTTACATATTACATATACATATTACATATTTACATATATGTACACATGTACATATGTGCACATTTGGTGCACACACCTCTAAACATAAAACTAAGCAAAACCAATTGCTCTTCCCAAAAACGCGCTCAGTGACACAGCTGCCGACGAAACCCGGAAGACACAACAGCACAGGCAGAAGAGAGCTTTGGGCTGGAATAGTCGCCCAGCACACAACCAAAGTAAACACAAGCATGTATGTATTTTCATACATAAGAATGTACCTGTATGTTTATTGGTATAAATGCACCTACCATTACTCGTTTAACTTGATTTCAGTCCTTAAATGTATTAATGAATGTATGTCTTTATTTCACGAGCAAACAAGTTGATGTATGGAAATGTACAGATATGCGTACATATATGTACATATGTAAGCAAGGGGGAAGACGATTCAACCAAAACAAAAGAAAAATCAATGCATTTTGATTTAATTCTCATGCCGTTGTCGATTGTTGTTTAGGTGTTTTATAAATATTGTTTGCATAGGTTTTTTGGTACCACTTATTATCATGCTTCTTATAGGCTTATCAACAAAGTTTATCCCTCAAAGTTTACGGGAATCAAACATTATGAAAAGGACTGTGGGCATCATTCGCCTGGTAAATATACGAAAACGGAGTAGAGAGCGAGGAGAAACGCTTTGAAACGCATCGAAAGGCGCTTCAGTACTTTTATACCCGGTACTCAGTCAATATGAGCAATACTTTTTGTCGAATATCTTCTACTGCGGTGAAGGAGAGCGTAGATGTAGATGTAGATGTTAAATGTATAATGTAAAACCCGAACTAGAATATTAAGTATACGATTATACTGACTGAGTATCGGATATAAAAGTAGTGACGTTTGCTTAGGCAGCTTTTTACAATGTTCCTTCTCGTTATTTGGTATAATACAAACCATTTTTTTCTGCAGAAATCATTTATTCGGTTTGGAACAGTGCCCATTTCGAAGAGGCCGAAGCTGTTTCTAATTATAAGACACTTCGCAGCTTCGCGACGCACTCTGTCGGCTGCTACAGCAGACAGGTTGCGAGAAAGAGAGACATTTGCATCCATACATACATATGTACATCGGTATATACCTAAATGTGTACGCCGATTTATTTATTTGTGTGTTTTGTGCATATTTTTAATGTATAAATGTATCCATATATATTTGCGAACGAGCATGACCTGCGGGGATTCCCCGGCACGATCCAGGTTGACCAATCAAAGCTACGACTAAGACTTAGTTTGTTGTATTTATTGTATTATTGCATTTGCTATTGTTAAAGCGTTACTTTTACTTGCAAAAGGTAGAAGAATGCCTTTGCTTTAGAATATAAGAATTTTCATAGTTCATATTCGAATGATTGAATCTAACAGAAGTTTTACATAGCTACTCGTAGGTGTCAAACATCTTGCAGATTTATCTGCCTATTATAATCGGTAGAGTTTAGAAAAATATTACTTTCGTGGTTGAAATTATCTACTATAATTATTATAACAAATATATTATTGATCAGCATCAATAGCCGAGGAGTCCTTGTCTGCACATCTATCAGTCGCCCAGTTTTCAGAGTCTTCCTACTCCTAATATGGCATAAATCCATGCAAAATGCACTCTTTTGGTAAACGAGGCATTCGACTGTCTTTGTTTTTGTTTTATTTGTATTTATTGACGTGAATTGAAAGCGTGAATTTCGGTGACATTTTGGCACGTGTAAATACGCAAGTAATAACTTTATCGCCAGCGGCTGGCATTTTTCAGGCTGTAGTGGCTCTTAAGAATGAACGAATTACTTTTTGAGCGGGGGGTTTGAGAGAATTGAGTAATAAACAGTTCGTCAGATACTTGTAGTCGCCGTGAGTCGAGAGGCGACATGCACGAGAGCGTGCTCGACGTGCTCATTTACATATATCTAAGTATTTTAAACAGTATAATGGCCAATGTGCCTGAAGTCGAGAGTGCATAGCCTTTAACAAATAGTATGAACTTGAACGATCAAAGATAACTACTAACCGGAAAAGAGACCAATGGACTGAGAAGAGCCATATAAACAGCGTCGCCAGCAAGTGATAGAACTATCCATAAATACTAGCAAACGTTCCGTCTCTTTATTTATTTCTGTCACTTTACAGGGCCGATTGAAGGGCTTTTTATTTTGCTCAAGATTACATTTTTAGGAATAAGTTTTCATATTGATCATTTTAATGAGATTACAACTTGAGCGAAATAACTCAATAAGAGAAATATTTGCAAAAATTGTATGGAAATTGCTCTCAAAAAAGAATTAAACAC